TTTTATAAATGCTTGATGTCTTTACCTATCGTTTGGTATATTTTTTTTGTAAATTTGACCTTTTTTCTGCCCACAAGGGGGGATTTAAAATGACAACTTTTTCAAAAAAAATTAACTTTTTCAACTTAACTTTTGAAAATGTTCCGGAAGGTCTGACACTTTTATATATATCTTAAATTAAAGCTAATGTAATGTTCTTTAATTTGAAAAAAAAAATTTGACCTCTCGACTTGTCTTCATGGTGAAAACGGCTACCAAATGCTATATTTGTGTGAAAATTTTCGATTTTATAATTTACATTTTTTACTTTAAAGTGCTATAACTTTTTAAAAAATGTATGGATCAATACAATTTTTTCATGAGAAGTAGTATTTATATACATCTTTCATTGGATATACTTTTTTTTTAAATCAGACTATTTCCCTATATATGGGGGGGTTCAAAATATAAAAAATGCATATAGAATGTAGAACTTTTTCAACTTAACTTTTGAAAATGTTCCGGAAGGTCTGACACTTTTATATATATCTTAAATTAAAGCTAATGTAATATACTTTAATTTGAAAAAAAAAAATTTGACCTCTCGACTTGTCTTCACGGCGAAAATGGCTACCGAATGCTATTTTCGTGTGAAAATTCTCGATTTTATTATTTATATTATATTTAACTTTATAATGCTATAACTTATTGAAAAGTTTATGGATCCACACAATTTTTTTATGAGAAATAATATTTTTTAATAAACCCTTTTTCATTCGACATACTTTATCTTAATCGAGATATTAATAAGGAACCAGCAGATCAAGTAGCTTTTGGAATAAAACACCAATTTTTTTAAAATTAAACACTATCTAAAGATTTGCATCGTAGCGTTTATTTTTGATAGTGATTTTAATCACTGTCAGATATCATTATACTTGATCCAACTATGCCACGACCCCCCTGTGCTGGATTTTTTTTTATTTTGATATTCCAATTTTAACAACGAAACCAAATGCATTGTTTTAGAAAAAAATATGAACTTTAATATCATATTGCTATTGCTGGAAAAAGCATTTCGGAAACTGATGGCAAATTTATTCTGTAATATCTTTTAATAGAATTATAATACTATTGCATAAGCAAGTCGTATGATATGATCCAATCGATTTATACGAGAAAACGAAATAATTAACCCAATAAAATCTACAAATAAACAAGTAAAATTAATAAATTATTTTAATGTTTAATAATACTTTTTTTTATTTCTTTACGAACAATAATAAGATTAAAACGTGGTTATTTTTTATCAATTACTATTGTCGAATGTTTACAAAACTATAAGATTTAGATATTGTGTATTTCATACATAAAATAGTAAAATTGATAAAACAAAAACCTATTTAATTAAAATTTTATAAAATATTTTTTAATAATAACATTAACTCATATGCTTGATTTGTACAATGGAGTTTAATATTAAATAGGTAAAATTAACTTTAAAATATACCATTTCGTTCATAAGATTTAAAGTATATATAATTTAATTTATAACAAATTGAAAATGTTTAATACAAAGTGATCCGTTTATTATAGACACTCTCAGAACACGTTTAATAATTGAAAGCTTAGGCTTTAAAATCATATAACTTATAGAAAAAATATCGTAGACATTTTCTAAATCATAAATTACCCATTAATATCTTTAATTTATTATAGGTTTGAAGAACGTAGACGTCCTGGAATAGTTTCAATAGTTGAAAACAAAGAAGTTTTTTCGATTCGAAAGCCGATTATTTAGACTTCTTATTCTAGTCTTAAGTTTACTTTGTTAAATTTTCATTTGGATCAGTGTTAAAAAAAAAATAAAGCAGTTTTAAAATGCAGAAAAATTTGTTTGAAAATGCCATTTTTTAAGATAGCGTAATTCTGGTCTATTTTTCTGAATTTCGAAAAAGTAAAAGTTTTTCCAATTTTTGGCGATGATTGGTTTAACTAGATTAAAATTAGGTTTTTTTGACGTATTATTCATTGAAATTCGTCCAGTGAGAGAGCTGAGAATTTCCTTGGATAGTTATAAAAATAAACACATCAACATAACACTATGTATCAAAGCTAAAAATATTCTAATTAAAAAAAATGACTGGTCAATAACAAGTTTTAACCCATTATTTTAAATCATTACAAATTTAAATTATAGGATGAAGGTGAGGTGCGGGTATAACAATATTCTTAGTATTCTTAGTTTCATAAATTTCTTCGATTTATCAATTATAATAGTTTTTCATCCTTCATACCTTATAAGGGTGTTATAATATTTTAAAATGACAACAGACATATTTAACTAGTTTTTAAAATTAAAAATTATTCAATTAAGAAAAAGACTGATCGAACAGGAATCAATTAACTAATATTAAAAGAATCACGTGTATGTAACAACTTTAATTACATTTGCATCAAAGCATATTTTATGATAGTGATTTTAATTACTATCAGATATCATCTATATTTGTCCCTATTGTACTATGTTTTTATTTTATAAGTAGGATGATATGTAGTAAAATATATATGTTGCCAACTAAAAAAATGAAGTTTACAACTCTATAAATTATGAGGGGTGATGCTAAATGTAATTAATAGCTAATAAATCAATATATATATAATTAAAAAAACAAACATTTTTTTATTATTGTATTTATTTTGTTAGTTATTGACTAGTTTATAATAAACAGGTTACTCTTATATTTACTAAAGATTTTTTTGTTTTATATTTATTAAATGTTTTTTACATGTTTTAAGACATAATTAAATACAGTTATCGTGTAAAATATATGTTCTATCAATAGTCACATATGATGAATAACTATAATATTAAATAATTCTAACTTGCAATAAATATCGTTTGTTTGTCCATAAACTTAGATACTCTTTATGAATAAGTGTTTTTGAAAAATAGAACTTTTATTTAATTTTATTAAGTATAAATTATTTTGAAAATATTCTATTATATAGGTGTTCAGCAGTGGTTAAAGTGAGAAAAACTAGGATGAGGAACTATAGTTCCTAAAAAGTGAGGAGCGTTCTCGTGCCACACTGAATTTAGCTACAAAGGCTAAAAATGATCACAATAAGCAAATATAAACTAAAAATATATCAACAATCGTGGTAGGTTCTATTGATATAACAAATGTTTATATCATCTTAAATTTTTATTTCAATCACTTTATATCCCCTAATAAGTCTTTTAGTTCCATGTGTAGTCATAAATTAATTACATAGTTTTTTAAGTTTAAATTAATTAAATTTTTGAATAATCCAAAAACAAACTAATAACAATAATAACATTACGGTCCCTCCTAGTACTTATGTTACCATGGTCGTATCATAAAATTTTGATCATTCAAATAAATTTCTTATATTAACGCTTTTCATTCTTAGGTGTTCAAAATTATGCGTCCACCAGAATTTTGGGATTTGACTTAATGAGGACCTTAGATTGTACTCCATATAATAAGGGTGTTTCTGTCGTCCTTCATCCACCCCCACTTTAACTACTGGTGTTCAGTAAGTAAGGAAACGGGTTTCTATTGTTCTCATTGTTTGTAACAATTTACCTTTTTGATTACTTACTAAACACTTGGTGTAATGATTATTTTCTATTGTATTTTCAAACATAAACTTTTGACTTTAACACATAAAAGAGTTACGATAGCTATTGAACAAAATTATTTCATTTCTTAAAATATAATATCAATTATTATTAAACTACATAAAAAAGTTTAGTAAAATTACTATAGTTTATATTTTTACAGTTAATTATTTTGTGCAAGTGATCTCAAGAGACAACTGTCCATTAAAAACGTACTTGTTAACTTTTAACATTATACAAATACGTTAACTATGTCTCACGCAACATTGTCAAAAGTATAAGATAAAGTACTATTTTTATTTTTAGAAGTTATTATTATTCTATATACTTTAATCAACATAAAAATAGCACTATTCCATTTTCTTTCTCCTAAAAATTGTATCCACCTGAGTTTTTTTGACGGACACATGCATAATTAACTGGTTTAAGAATAAAAAAATGACTGATCGATAGTAATTTTAAAACTAATAATTTGGAAGTTATTAACACTTAAGATTAAAGGAATGAGGTGAAAGATGGTTCTGTTTATTTTGGTCTCTAACTATCTGAACCTCTCTTCTCCTACTACATTTAAAAAATGATAATATTTTTTGAAATACTGATACAAGCCTTATTATGGGTCAGTAATTTTCTTGATTAAATCATTATGTTATATATAAGTTGGTTAAACATATATGTTTCCATTTCAAAAACAAAAATTGACACAGTTTTAAAAGGGTGAGAGGACGGGCGTATAGGACCATTTTTTTTTTATTTAATCATAGAACGCAGGATATTATTATCATCTAAGAAAAAAAACTATATTAAATCATATATTAATAGTTATTATTATATTATTGTACTTTAAAAGGTATTGCATGAGACGTAGTTAGCAGACAAGTCAGTATATTATGATATACACTGTTTAATAAAGTTCTATATTAGAGTGTTAAAATTATAGTGTAAAAAAATTGTTTGTGTAATTATTTTAATAGTAATTAGGTATCAATAAATAAATAATTTGAGTACACATAGTTATAACTAAAATTTAAAATAAATAATAATATTTGAAAAACAATTATCAATTTCAAATTACTGAAAAATGTGTTCAGATAGCAAGACATGTCATGGATTCAATTTTATTTAGATTATTTTCAAGTTAATATCGTATAAGTATAAATATTTAGAATTTATATGATTCCAATACATAATTAGCGTTTTAAATTAACATGTTGATTAATTTAGAAGAAGCCCTTACAATTTTCATAAAAGGCTTCTGATGATCAAAGCCTAGCGTAGTGCATCTCATTTGTAACACAGTAAACTTTCGACATGCGTCTCAAAATGAGTACTTTGATTTCGTGCTGTTAAAATATATTTCCTTTGTCTGTAAAATAAAAGATGAAGTATATTTAATTTAGGGTTGACTTACATATAATATAATTCGTGTATGTGTGTTTGCGTATTATCAAAAAACTAAAATGTTAGCGTTTTCTTTGTAAGCTGATAAAACTTGGTGTTTCCATTTGTTGATAAGTACTCGTGTCTTGATCATTATTTTTATAGCTATGATGAGAATAGGCTCTGTGATAACCTCAAGTAACCCCAATATATCAGGTAGGACCTTCCGAAGATGTAAATATTTTAAAATGTGGTTACCTACATAATTTAATCGTAAATAAGAGATCAAAATATCTGGATGATTATAAATTATGAATAGATGAAGAGTATAATTAATGTTTAGTATAAATACATAAAAATAAATTATTTTATCATTAACGCAATATTATATTTCATAAATAAAAATAATAAATATAGATAGATATAAGAGTTAAGTAGGGTAATATATATAAAATATACAGAATGAGTCACGAGGATATGAAAATTCAATAACCAGTGATCCAATTATCATTTTATTAAAACTCGTCATATATTGAAATTAAACTAAATTAAAAAAAGTATAAATTACAAATAATTTTATTGGAAAAATTCAGGTGTTTAATGGAAAGTTAATATCATCCATAAAAGTCAAATTCACAAAATATCTGTAATGGCACGTTTGGCTACTAAATCTATCTTGGTTATAAATTATTAAATTAAGCAATAAAAGTGTCTATTCATTTTGAAAAATATTATATTTTAATAACTAAATAATTATTATAATAAGTTTTTCTAACAAATTATATGTTAAACAAAAAAAATTATTTGTGTGTATATTGGCGCAGATATTACCAATATGTATTTTAAGATATAACTGGCATAATATAATTGTGCACGAGGTAAAAGGTTAATATATAAACATGCAATTACATAAATAATACCAAGTATCATATTGTTTTCATAAATTGTTGCAAAACTCTTATAGTTTAATTTATTTTCTAATATTTTTTTATTAAACTAAAATTACTAACCATCTTCAAGTAAATTAATAACGAATAAATTTTCTTGAATAAAATACACGTGTAGTTTAAGTATTTAAATCAGTAACACGTTTACACTAATGTCTAATCTTCTATAAACATAGGAAAAATAATAAGTCCTAAAAGTTCTATAATACAATAATAGATAACTCGTTAAATGCTGTATCATAATTAATGACATAATAAATAACAAAATTAATAAAATACTTAATAGCATCTTCATCCACACAAATATGGAAAGTTTGATAAGGGACAATTCTCCTCTAAAATTTGTGAATAATAATTAATAAATGAATTATATTATTAAAATTAAACACATTAAAAAAATGTAATATATCGTATAGTAATGAGCAATTTTTTCAATTCTTTTATATAATGTTAAATTTTCAGAAAAATAATTAGCTTGCCCAAAATTAAATTTTAATTGCGACTATGCATATCTTATATCTAATGTCATGACAAAAATATTTTTATGTAAAGAAAACATACATACAATTTTTATTTTAAAAATATAACAAAAGTAAAAAAAAAAAAAATTATTTATTGACAAAATTCAGAAGTAGCGACTGAACACTAAAGCACTCCCTGTAGGTATATATATGCTAATATTCAAACATATGAAGTTTTCTGTTAATATATAATAATATTTTGGAATTTACATTACGAAAACTGCATTTTATTTCAATTATATACTAATTAAAAGAAAAATATGTTATTCAAGAATAAATTATTATATTTTGAAAGTTGAAATAAAGGAAAATGCATTGACTACACACTTTTTATTGAGTCCTTGTGAAAAATCGATAAAATACTAATAATAAACTGAAATTACTTATTCGTATTAAAGACTTCATTAAAACTCATAATGATAACTGAAATATGTAAATAATATTATTTGCAATTTTTTAATCATATAACTAATTATTAGCTAGTACTGTTATTAGTAATCGTATGGACGTATTCAAGAAAATTTAGTATTACGATATTAATTATATTCTATTAATGAAATCTTATTAGTTCAAATACTAATAAAAGGCAAATAATTTTAATAGTAATTTATTATATATTAGTAATATTAAACTACACAACTTAAGAAAACTAAATTGAAATAAGCCTATTAAAAAATAATAATAATAAAACCTTTTTTAATCAGTACTTACTATAATTCAAAAGCTACAATTTCATAGGAATTTATCACTTTTGTTTCGCCACGAGCACCAACATTAGCGTAATTTCAACTAAATTTTTGGAGGATTTCATTATATGTTATTTCCCCGCCTACAAATTTTATTTTTATAATTATAAATGTAACTTTTCTGAAAATTTGAAGAGGCTATGCTTCAAAAAATCCCTATAATTTACTCCTATACTAGTCAATCGTAATAACAATTTAACTTACATATCATCTTATTACTTAACAAATCATTGTAATTATCATTTTTGAATGTGTCACTTATTTTTTTTTTTTAGGAATTCATAACTTGCAATTTCGTAGATTGACAAAAACATTGTTCATCATTTTAAATAAAACTAATTAATTTCCTCGATAAAAATTGAATATATTGTAAAATCTAATGACATTGTCATCAAGTTGATTATGCTCAGAAACGAAGATTATTGAAATTCTACCAATTTAGTAATTTTTATAAATTCTTTAATATATGATAAAATTATATTTATAAACATTAATAAAAGTAATTATACTATAAATACTTGGTAAAAATGATCTTGAAGTTCATAGGCCATGTCTATTATTATTACAAATGATTCATTGAAATAGCATATGAATTTTATACCTAGTGGAATAGAATATATACGACAAATACAGTTAAACTATAAACAAAATACTAACATTAATTATGTTACATGACTATCAGCACTGGATTCACAAGAGTTGCACAGTGTGCATTGCATCAGGGCCTTGATACTTTTATGTTATGGAGACTTTACAATTTAGCACATTTAAAAAATGATGTATGAGCTATATTATGATTTATGTAATATTAATTTTTCTCTCAAAATTAAAAAAACAATTAGTTTTGATACGAAGCTTTGTATGCTTAACCTTAGTTTAAAATATCAATAAATAATTAATAAAAAACTTGTAAAATATGTATTTAAACACATTTCTTTTTAAAATTGAAAAAGAAATGTTTTAAATTTAAATTAAATCTTCATGCGAAGCAATATATGTATTTTGAAAATCGGTTGGATTTCTTCTTTTGCAATAGTCCATGTTTCGCATTCATTGACATTATGCTCCAAATGTACGTTTATAGTAGATTCTTTCTAATATTAAGGTCAATTTTTTTTTTATTAAAAAGACTTATTTTCATATTAAATAATGCCACCCTAGCTTGGGATATTCATTTTATAATTTCCTTTTTATGTCTCCCATCTGAGCTTATAGTACTACCCAAATATATGATATCTTCTACTTGTTCTACAGTTTCATCGTCCTTTAATTTTATTCTTGTTCTTATGCTATTGTCTCTATTACATACTAGGACATTCGTCTTCTCGGCGTTTATTTTCATACATAAATCTTTTCTCATCACCTGTTATAATGTTCTTAAAATCTTTTTTAGATCTTTTTCATTGCAATGTCGTCCGCGAATTTCAGCATGTCTATTCTGTGACCATTTTCCTTTCATCTACATGTGTCTTCTCTCTTATACTATCTATGGCTTCTTGAATGGAGGCATTAAATATTAAAGGTGATAATGTACATCCCTGTCTAACACTTATTTTTATTTTTGAATATCTCCCATTTTAGCTTCGATGCGAAGCTAAGAAGGTATTAAGTTTACTATAATGTGTTTTTTTCTTGTCTGTTACCACTTTTTCTCAGCTCTCACAGAACCGATTTCTTTCAACGACAAGTCAAAAGATCACAAATCGTATCTAGTTGAAGACATTACCCTCAAAAATTGAAAAAATTTCCTTCTTTCTCCGTAAATGAGGGAAATATCCAAAAAAATTACAATTTTATAAATTGCTATTTTTCGAAATTTTTTAAAATTTTTTTACTTAAAACTGCCATGACTTTTTCAAAAATGATCAAATCAATATATATATTTTTTTTTTATAGATGCTTGATGTCTTTACCTATCATTTGGTATATTTTTTTTATAAATCTGACACTTTACCTGTCCACAGGAGAGGATTTAAAATGACAACTTTTTCACAAAAAATTAACATTTTCAACTTAACTTTTGATAGTGTTCCAGAAATACTGACACTTTTATATATATCTTAAATTAAAGCTAATGTAATATACTTTCTTATGAAAAAAAAAAAAATTTCTTACTTTATTTTGTCTTCATGGTGAAAATGGCAAATTTTTGTGTTAATATTCTCGATTTTATATTTTACATTTTTCATTTATATTTCTATAACTTTTTGAAAAATGCCATACATTTTGATCAACACAATTTTCCTATAAGAAATATTATTTATAAACTTTTTTCATTCGACATACTTTTTTTTCATATAGGACCATTTCCCTATATACGGGGAGGCGGGGGGTTAAAATCTAAAAAATGCATATAGAAAGTAGAACTTTATCAACTTATTTTTAATTAAAATATATTTATTAATTATTCATACGTAACCTACTAATCAAACATAAATATTTATTATAATANAATAAAAGTAATTATACTATAAATACTTGGTAAAAATGATCTTGAAGTTCATAGGCCATGTCTATTATTATTACAAATGATTCATTGAAATAGCATATGAATTTTATACCTAGTGGAATAGAATATATACGACAAATACAGTTAAACTATAAACAAAATACTAACATTAATTATGTTACATGACTATCAGCACTGGATTCACAAGAGTTGCACAGTGTGCATTGCATCAGGGCCTTGATACTTTTATGTAACTTTTATATACGTTTCCCATAAAAGTAATAACTACTTTATAATTTTTTATAATTTCTCCGTAAAAATTACAATATTAAATTATTAAATTATCAATTTCATACAATATTTAATTGTTATAATAAATATTTATTCATATATTACACTTATAAATTATAAAACTTATAACCAGGATATAAATAAGGAAATAGGGGATCATGTTGTTTTTGGAATAATGCACCAATTTTTTAAAATTAAACACTATCAACAGATTTACATTGAATTGTTTTTTTTAATAGTGATTTTAATCACTGACAGATTAAATTTATATTGCATCCAACTACTGTGCCGCGTCCCCACTGTGCTGGGTTTTTTATCATTGCTATTTCATTTTTATTCAATTAATTTTTTTTTTCTATAAATTCATAAAAAAATTAATTACGCGTCTTTTAGTAAATATAAGTATAATAATTTATAGTATGTAATCTATACACAAAATTAAAAAAAGAATCAGTATCCTCATATTTTCACACAGATTCAGACAGAATAAAATGTATAGCTCGCTGAAGACTATTCGGTAAGAAATGATCTGAAAATTCGCATACGTTAGTATGGCATTTTTAATAAACAACTGTTATTTTGACACTAAGTATCAAAATTTCTTTTAGAAGTATAAACGGGTATTGAAATAGTTTGATTTATTTCGGTTTTGAATCTTGATTTTAAATAATGATCGGTTGCGGTTAGAAAAATCGGAAAAATAAGTTCTAATCGCTTTTAGTCGTGTTTAAGTTTATAAAGTAATCAAAATGTTTTATTATAAGGAGTGTTCAGTAAGTAAGTAAGGAAACGGGTTTCTATTAATCTCATTGTTTGTAACAATTGACCTTTTTCCTTATTTACTGAACACCTTGTATAATATTTTTATTACTATTTTTCAAAATTTACCTTTGCTTTGTATGCGTTAAAATCTTCTAATACATGTATGTGGATATTCAGTTGTTTTTAAGAGTATAATACGTAAAAGGCAAATGAAGTTTTAATAATTCTAAAATTAAATAATTTGAAACGAATTTATTTTCTTTTTGTCTCAGGAATAAAATTAAGTTGCAAAAAAGTAGGAGACGTTAATATAAAATAGATATTTTGTAATTCAAAAAATTAGCAAATATTAGCAATACTCAATTAAAACTTACATAAGTTTTTACTATAAGTGAATATATAAAAACATTGTTTATCTACCTTCACTCCTTTTAGCTACGCTCTAATAGTATACATTATGACAATTCAAGCTATAAAAAATAATTTTTATTATATTTACATATTTTCTATTGATTTTAAACTTTAACTATACCGACGTAAATTGCACAAACATTTGAGTGTCCTACTACTTTACGGTTTTAAAAGACAATTTTTGAATCGCCTTTATAACATAATTACATTTTTTTTTTAATTTGTAAATTATACTACTCAATCTGATAATTTTTTGTTTTTAGAGAATTAATATGCTTATATGCATATTTGTTTTGTAATAGAATATGGTTTGTGATTATCCTTAAAACGAACAATTTGCAAGCACATTTCAAGCCTTTATATATATGATATTCGTTACAAAATAATGATATCATCAATTGAAATGAATGACTATTTACTGAATATTAATTTATAGTCTATTATAATTTTTTGGTAATTCTATTTCAAAAAATTTGATTAAAATAAAAAAAAATTGAGGAAAAAACCTGTAAAATTAGTTGTTTAGATAGGTAAGTACTCAAGGAAATCAGTTAATATTCAGCAACACATATTTAATTTTATAACTGCATCTATTTTTTTAATTGTTCAGAATGAAAAAAATAAATAAAATGTTAATATTAAATGTATTGTTAGATTAATTTGTAGGTCGTTTGGAATGTTATTTATTTTAATGGAAATACCACACATTATGTATGATTATCATAAAACCAAGAAAGATATTTCTTAGCATATTTTAATTTCTTTAAGTCTGTATTAATAAAATATTTTAACGTGATAAACAACAAAAGATTTCGTGCAAATCAAGAGGTAAACATATAAGGTTGAACTATGACCTAAGAATTTATTGATTAAATATCACATGAACAGCTGGTGAACATTAAGAGAATTTGTGTCGAAGTAAACAATAAATTATTCAAATGATATATAGAATAATACACTTACAATTGTATTTCTCCATACAATTAATAATAAATTAATGTTTATTATTCACATTTCGATAACACCACATCGTTATATTAAAAGTCCAGTGCCCAAATTTAAAACAAGCGGGATCAGGGATTTAATTTTAAATTAGTAAAATTTTGGCAAGCAATGTTGTCGGAACTGGAGAGTAGGAGGGGACAATGCCTCCTGAATCAAAATATAAATAAAAATATAAAATATAAAAATATAAAGGGCGGCAAAAGTATCATTTTACACCCACCTCCCCGCCCAAAATTAATTCAAGCAAAAAAGTTATTATTGTTAAATACTTGTGATAAGATATAATATTTTTCTTTAATATTTTCACTAAAAAAAAAAAAAAACGAGTATTATCGATTTCAGATTTTATAATTACCCAATAGTATTATGTTTATTATTATTATTCTATTATTAATTGTGACCGAGCAAATTTTATTGACTAAAGTAAAATTGCAAATAAATTTTTATCAAAAATTAAATTTGTCTTTTTTTTTTAGTATTTTATTTATATACTTTTAAATTTATAAAAGTTTCCAAAGTTAACGATAAGTAATTTTTTTTACTTATTGTAATAAATAAAAAAATATATAATTAATTCGATAAACTATATCATCTATTATTATTGATAATATAATCAAAAAAATTAGCATTATCAAGAATAAAGTATATAAACTACCAACATTTTTTTTTATATAATCACTAAATATCATCAAAAAAAGTTAAAAAAGGGACCTATTTTTAGTCATTAAATTTTTGTCTCTCATGTAGAACTCTAAAGAAACTTCTGTTAATATTATATAATATAATGATAAATTGTGAGCTTTATGATTTGTTAACATCTCATAAATCCATAGTTAAAGAAATGTTAATATGAACACTCTTGTCACAAAATAAACATAATTGCATTACAGCAAATTATATTATTCGTCGCACGTTCGTCTAAAACTAACTAGAATAATCTTCTAAGCTTTAAATTAATATTAAAGTTTTTAATTCAATTCAATTTTAGATGTACATCTACTTCTTAGTAATAATACTATAAAGTATGTACGAGTGGTAAGCAAACATTTTTTTAATGATATAAATTATGTAAGTGTTTTATACTTGATAATAGTTTTAATAATTATTTATAAAGTTTAAAATTATAACACAATTAAAAATTGGCATAATTTTATTTAGTATATCTTAAGATTCAGAAAGAAATATACCCTTATTCTTCACCACGAGAGCGACTCTAATTAGTTAGGTAGCATTAACTTCATATTTATTTTAATGAATAATTTAGAAATAATTAAATTATTATAGAAAATATTCTTTTTTTAATTATGATTAGATTATCTAAATACAACAAGTGACGTAAAACTATCGCCTGTCAAACATTATTTTTGTTGAAGCTGAGAAAATAATATTTTACATTGATATGTTTTTTTATGTCTGTGAATAATTGTGCTCAGCTCCTAAAAAGAGTGTCAATTTTTTATTTAAAATTTAAAAATTGCAGTCAATTCTTTGTCATTTAAACCTATGCAAAATTAAAGCTTTTTTAATAACAGAAAAAATTTAGTCAACTATGAGAAAATTCCTGTCAGAGTTCAATCAAAAATAAGCTTAATATTTTTTTTTAATTATAATTATAAGTCTATTTTTTATATAATTAATCTAAATTGTATTTATACATTCTATTTACATTCGCATTCTTATAAAAAAATTATTTCATTTACAATTTAATTTATAATTTATAATTTAAAAATTAAATGTATTCATGAATTTACTCATTAAAAAATAAATAATTTTTTTTTTTAGTAAAAAGAAAGGCAAATTGATTCTTGGGAAATGATGATCTTCTTTGATTTAAAAAAATATAGTAATTTTTGTAAAATTTTTTAAAAATTATATAATTGAACACATGAGTTTGATTTCAATTACACGTCATTACCTTTTTCACAAAAATGACAGAACATTTTTGTTGTACGGTATAAGGTTTTAGTGTAAACAAGTTATCTGATGTTTTTTTTATTTTAGAAGAGCAAAAAAAACATTATAAATAAAAAGTATATGAAATTTTAAGTCTTATTAGAATTAAAAGATGCTGGGTGCGAATTATAGAATAAAAAGAAAAATGGTTCTTTTTCGTTATATGCATGATTGATAACTATGAGTCATGCAATATTTCTAAAAGTATAATGCATAAAATATTATTTTTCGGAAATTAAGAGTGTCCAAAGGTCTGTGATTTTCAAATAAAAATTTAGTCTTATTTAGACCTCTTTATTCTTTTTAAAATAGTGATAACTTTAGTTGTTTATATGGAAATATATATTTTTTACCAGCTTATAAAGCTCATTAACTTTGAAAATAATTGGTTTTTAACAACTTTTGAACCAAATTTCTGAAAGTTATTAACACTTATAAAAATTTGTGATTATGATAATTATACGTAATCTTATCCTTATAAATTTTAATTTTAAGTTTTAGTAAACATATACCAATTTACTAGTATGTGCACAAGTGATAACTTATAGAATTCCCCACAAAAACTCTAGAATAGCATTCATACTCCATAGATCATATGTAATTAATAAATTTATGTGTCATCGATTTAATTTAATTTTAACTAATAATGCAAAATTTATTTATCTTGGCTATGTGAAGTTATCTTAAAATTATATTCCCACAAAAAACAAATTTATTTTACAGCACAAATTTTCAAAATGTTTGCCAAAAACTGCAGTTATCCAGCTACATTTCCATGAAATTTTGTGATCAAGAGATTTTATTTAGGTTACTAAACAAACAATTAATTGGAAGCTGTAATTAAAAAAAACACTCCTGAATACGATTGATTCATAGTAAATCACTAGCGGTAAAATATAAGAGTAATTTTCAGGGTTACCACAATAATTGTAAGTAATGATTGTTACTTCAAAAATCAAAAAAAGAACAAATAAAATCATGGGTTATCTATTGAACGGTACAATTTTTAAATTGTGACCTTAAATAACAGTAAAAAATCTTTATACCATAACTTCCTCCAGAATCTTCGTCTATTACCTCGCGGACGAGGGTGAACCTAAAGAGAATAAATGGTAGAAGGTAGTTGACTACCTAAATTTATCTCAATAATATTGGCCAATATACCTTTTTGACAATCAAATCAATTGATTCTTTTTATACTAATGTTACTAAAAATATTTGTGCATTTCAACTTTGAATCAAAGTTGAAAACAGAATAAATATCAGACAGTAATNATAACAGTAAAAAATCTTTATACCATAACTTCCTCCAGAATCTTCGTCTATTACCTCGCGGACGAGGGTGAACCTAAAGAGAAGTTCTTTTAAAAGGTTAACAAAATTGGTTCAGTAGAAACTTAGCACNTGACTACCTAAATTTATCTCAATAATATTGGCCAATATACCTTTTTGACAATCAAATCAATTGATTCTTTTTATACTAATGTTACTAAAAATATTTGTGCATTTCAACTTTGAATCAAAGTTGAAAACAGAATAAATATCAGACAGTAATTTAGATCATTATCATATAATACTTTAAAATGGATGCACTTAAAAAAAATTTGATAAAATTAAAAAATTAATTAATTTTGATTTGGTTCAGTTTTATTTTAGAAAGTTATAGTAGTTTAAAATTGCAAAAATTTGGAGTTTCAACAATCTAATTTTAAATTCAACTAATTTTTTGTAGTATTTTCGAAAATAAAATAAAAATATGGGAATTTTTTAAATTTTTGAAAGTAATGTTTTCAATTAGATATGATTCGAGTTCTTTTAAAAGGTTAACAAAATTGGTTCAGTAGAAACTTAGCACAAAAAAAAGACATATTTGTAAAATCAATATCTTTTCAGCTTTGATCGAAGCTAAAAACTGTAATTTGTATTCGGCTAAAAAATAATATTAAAATTAAAAATAATACTTAAAGGGGCGGTGTAGTAGAGTTAGTGTAGTAGTATAACTAATACTCACAAGTCAGTTTTGGGACAAATATTTATTTATAAACATAAGACAAAATGTTACTACTCCCCCTCTCCTAAACAAAAAAGATCTTCACCATCTCACTACATTTGTTATATTTTTCGCACTATCGATAATTCAAAATTCATTAATGGGTATTTCTATTTGGAAAGTGAAAGATCAACTCACTATAAAGTAACTACTCAATTCTTCAACGACGATCAAACCATCTTTCTTAATGCTTAATAGAGAATTTATTTTTGTTCCTCTCTTTTTTTATTGCTTTTGGGTACTTTTTTCTATTTAAAAAAAATATGCATTACTCGTCCTGGAGAATACTAGATAAAGAGACCTCCTCTTTAAAGAAGGCTACAGTGGGCTTAAACCAATGCTTAAAACAATTTCTGTACCTTTTTCGAACGTCTGACACAGAAGTTGTCAACTTTTTAAGTAAATTGCTGAATAATCCAAGGTACCTATCATTTGTCAAACCAACCAGTTTTTGGGAATTGATTGTCATATCCAATAAATAATTTATTAACGTTTTAAATAAAATTTTGATTTTTTAATTAAATATAAGACTTAATAAGGAAACAAAATCCCACTTTTCACAAACTTAAAAATGTCTCCATGGTATATCAAAATATAAAAATTTCCAAAGACTGGATTACTACCAATGATTAGTGTCGTTATCTTATCCATTTTCTTTTTTTCGACTAATGATGATTTGAGGGTCAGTGGTAGGCTAAAGCCACTAATGTACTTTCTTAGTACAATGTACATGTATACAAAAAAATTAAAAAGATCTCTTTTTTTACTAAAAAAAAATATTTTTCACTAGAACCCGTAGAATTTAGCACCGGCATTAAATGATTTATATATAGATGACTTTAAAAAAAAAAAAAAAAATACTTTACACGCTCACCTAATGTCACCCTTAACTAAACATTAAATTTACTAATAAATATAACAATCAAAATTGTCACATAAAAACAAAAAAAAAAAAAAATTGTACCCGGGAATGTCAAAATACCAAACACAGGACATTTTAGGAAACAATTGATTTAAATTTAAAACATTTGTGTTTAAAAATAGGAAGAAAAATCCAAATAATATATAAATGTGTCTAGACGGTTATATGAAAATAATCAACTCCATAAAAATAACAGTATTCACTTAAAACGAATTATTAAACATAATACATATGTATTACACTTCTAGAGTTTGAATAACAATAACTATTAATTAACTAAAATGAAGTTTAATAAATGTTTATTAGTGTGTTTAATTAATGTATACTTGTGAGTCAAGGGTGGTTTAGAAAGGGCAGATAATGTATTATGCGATAAGCGGCATATCCAATTATAAATCGGCCGGCCCCACCGTGTATTGTTATAGTTATCTATCAGCGTCCGCATTTGAATTAAATTTAACATTTTTCATCACATAATTATTTCTGTACATTCTGTGGCTCGGTACAGAAGACTTTGAGGTTACGCGAGTGAATGTGTTTTCTAATGAATACAGTAAAATACTTGATTTTTTATTTCTAAATATATTGAACAAATGTTCAAGACCTAGTTGTTAATTGTTCTTCTATTCTACTATTTAACTTAAAATTCTACCTGGTTGCAATTTTGAAAATGTTTATAAACGATTTTCCATTCATGGAGTCCATGCCAACAAACAACAATTTTGTACTTAAATCCGAACCATTTGCAGAAGGAGCCACCTACAATGGAAATGTATGGATATCAGGTATAGTTGTGATCCTGTACACTAGATATTATTGGCTTAAGACTTACTTATCATAATAGACATAATGTAATATTCTAAAAACTTAGAAATTAGATATTTTTTTTTTACTGAAGTTATGAATCATCTGCCTGTTGTACAATTAATAATTAAAATTTTAAGTAATTTTTCTAAAGAATTATTCTTTTTAAATGTCGAAGTTAGCTTATTTTTACACATTACAACATTTCGTTTGATTACTCATACACGTTAAACGGTTTCCATTACTGACAATAATAATGTGATGATCATGTGGTAAACCGTGTGTACAAATTATTTTATCAGTATGTTTCCTGTCGCCCTCAGTTCAGTGTATCCGTTATGCGTTTGGTCAACTCCATTAACTGATCCGCTGTGATTTCTTAATGCATAATTAGATTCAATGTTATTATTTGTAACGTATTAATTTCAAATTTTAATCAAAATTTTTGAAACTTGATTTTGAAACTTGCATAAATATCATCAAATCATCATTGCATTAAGCATTTTTATTTTTAGATTTCTTAAATTAAATGTTCTTACGATTATTATTTACAAACTTAGTAAATTATATTTTAATTATTTGAGCTAAATTTTAGTTATAGATGTTTAAAAATTGTTTTTGTTTAGGCGAAAAGCTCATCGATTACAGTTAATATTTTTCCTTGGTAAAATAGATAAGCTATAAATTAAACTTCAAATTATTTTACTGTTTTCTAAATTATTAAATTACTCAAAATTTTAATTAACTTTTATTTGTTATATGGTGGATATTTAAGAGTTAATATTTTTTCAGAGTTTTAATAGTAATAAAAAAAACTTTGCAATATTAATTCTATTGTTCTTAATAAAACAAATTTAATTGTGATTGACATAAGATATTATTTATTTTACTTAAATGATCATAAATAGTGTTACGCATATTTTCAGCACACGTAAAAACTAATTTACTTCCGTAAAACAAAAATATGCGTGTTAAAACCTTATGTACTGTTAAAAGAATTATTCATTGTTACTTATTGTTTATTCTATTATTAGAATTTAATATTCTTACAAATAAAAAATATATAAATTTATTTAAAATACTAGTAATTTTACCTAAAAAATTTAGTTTATTTAACACATTATGGTTCACGGTATTAAACGTGCAATTTAGGGTTTAATTAAACAGTTGCAACACAATACGATTAAAATAATTATAATAAAACACACCTTGTGTAACAATAAAATTATCAATTTATCTATACATAATATTGATAATCTATAACCTTCTTTAAAATGACCTTTTAAATATTAAAGAAACGCTGCATTTAACATAAGATTGTGAAGGAGTCACTGATATTAACTAATTAATACATAATAAATAATTTTTTTTATTATTTATTAATATTTTATCGTTTAATATTAACATGTAACGTGAAAAACATAAAGCAAAACTACTTTTTTATATAAATTTATTGTATTGTTATTACAATAATTTTATATTATTCACCTATATTAAAATTTATGTTTTTATGTTTGCTTTGTAGAAATAATAACAATAATTGATTTATTGTGGTAATATCGCTAAGAAAAATTAGGTATTTTCGAAAGAGTATTTATTATCTTATAAAAATTGTTAAATTTTTATGAGCCTAATATCTTTAATAAATAGATGATGTTAATTTAGAGAACCAAATAATCAGGGGTGCATTAAGAATTTGTTTTAACTCAACAAAGAATACAATTTTAAAGGTGATGGCAATTTTTTACTAAACATAATTCTTTTAATGCAATTGTAATAGAAATAGTTAATTTAGACAGCTATATCAACATACTTGTTGTTTTTTATCATGTTAAAATTTTTCAATTTGTCATTTTAATGTTGAAATATCTGTGTAGATAATGCGATAATATTCATTAATAATTTACTTAAAATTATAACGCCTTTTTTTACAAGAAAAAAAGGCAATATAAAAATAATAATATTTGTAGTAATTATAATATACTATACGCCATAATAATAACTACATTAATGAGATCAAATTAAATATTTGTAAAATGTACCTTTAATTTAATATGTTATTAAATAAATTATTATAAATAAAAAAATGGCATTTGCCTCTTACGTTCTTAATAAAAATATTGTTTTTAAATTGGTAACTTTAACAACTACTTATTAACAACAAAACAGCTATCATATTATTTTTTCTAAAGTTATAGTTTTTTATAATGAAGAAATTATATTTATATCATTTTTAAAATTAATTTAACATAAAATCATAAGTATTAAATTATGTTCCAGCTTTTGCTATCTATTAAAGATTATTGCTTAGTTTTATTATTTTACACAATAACAAAACTGTACTATAATTATTCAGGCCAACTAATTATCTTTGAGTGCATTGATCTCTCATCTTCTATACAGGTTATAAAGCATCATAACCACCTCAAGTGTGACTAGCTTTAGAGTTCCTTAATTATAGGTCCGACTAAGTCATGTAATAATAAAACATTTTCATAAATGATAAATTATAAAATAGATTTACTTAAATTTTTCACAATTCAAAATTTGACTTTTTATTTTTTTCGGTTTATTTATAAAAAACTGTTAAATTTTCATGGAATATTTTTAAGTCGTAGATCTTTAATCACTATTTTTAACAACAGTTTGTTATTTCTTATACTATAACTACTTAGACATTGTGTACTATCGCAAATAAAAATAGAAATAGCAATTTAATAAAGGTATATTTTGTTTTTTTTGTTATTTTAAAATTGCTTCGTAAAAATAAGTAATTAGAAATTAAACGAAAAATGGAAACTAAGATTGTAATGTTTGAATTCATAATACTAATCGTCTTAACTAAAATGTTGATTAATCAAATACGGTTTAAATTTTTTTACGTGCCCAAGTTAACTATAAACAGATTACCCCACTTCAATAGCTGTAGTAATTAAATCCCTAAAAATATTTTGCAAGCTGACCTAATATCATTGTGTCGATTTAACATTATATTGCGTGTGTTATATTCTAGTTCTGCATTACTTGGCCTAACGCATTGCTCATGGTTAAAATAAATTTCAATCTCTAGGGTAATGTTATTAACATATTTATTTTTATTTATTAAAAAATCTAATAATTATAAATTAATCATGCTAGAAAGTTCAACAAACAAGATTAAAATTTTGATACGCATAGAAGAACTGGTAAGCTAATAACAGTTCGTTAAAATATGTTGATTTAGGTATGCTTAATTTCTTAACTGACTGATTTAATAATATATTTATCTAATTAAATAAANACATTATTAACAATCAAATATTTTTCATATTAAAAAAACCTTTTACTAACAATCATTAATAAAATTGCATTTAAAATACAGGTAAAATACATACAATATGTTGTTTTATCAAAATTGAAATGTTTTTGAATATATAAGAAATTCAAATATTGTCGTCTGTTTAAATATTAGTTTAATTATAGTTTTTTTAAAGAGAAATTTTGGAATCAAAAACAATGAAATTAATCAATTTACCATAATTAAAAATAAATAATAACACATTCCACCTTACTTTACACGTGATTAGTTAGTTTAATCAAAATATAAGAATTGTTTATTGTATCTATACTTTATTCTAATGTATGTAATATTGAAAGAATATTTGTTTTTAATGTACTGTTCTTGTACAAATATGATACTCGTTCATTTGTATGTAAAATATTTATTGAAATTATCGCACTTAGGAAAATTTTCCTTTATCTTAGTACAAACATTTTCATTCATTTGAATATGAAAATCATTCTTATCGAATACAATTTATTTTAAACTGTATAATTGACAACTATCATGATATTTAATATTCACCTTAATGATGCTTAATTAATATTTTTCATTATCACTACAATATTTATTAGACAACTGCATAAAAAATATTACTTTATCTAATCATGATAAGAAAACTATTAAAAATAAAACTTGAGTATAACTAATATAGTGAATAGGTTTAACATAACTTTTTACATTTATTATTATTTCGGTTATTTCTAGTAACTCATTTTTTTTTTTAAGAAATTAAAAATAAAATTTACTCTCTAATTAACGCTATATGTTTGTCAATTCTCTAAATAATTTAAGTCTGATTCAACTAAATTCTTGTTCTTTTAATGAAAGTTATTATATGAAGAGTAAAACTTAAATTCAAATACTTCATAATCTTAACATCGAATTTTTTTAATTCCTTTTTTGATTGCCTTATTTGTTGCACATAGCGATGTGTTTCATTATAAACCAATGTATTTATGTATAATAAACATATACAGAGTGTTCAGTAAGTCAACACGTTTCTATTGTTCTCATTGTTTGTAACAACTGACCTGATACCTTATTTAGTAAACACTCTGTATACATTGGTTCATAATATGTATATCTATATGTAACTTGATCACATATATATTTTAGCACATGTATTACTGGAAAATTAAATTTTTGTAATTTAAATTACATAATATTTAGGTAATTAAAAGAAAATTGTGAAAATTGCACTTATTGGTTATGTATTTAGTCGCATCTAGGTAGTCCAGGGTCAGCTTGGATTAACCTTAAAACTTAATTTACTTACCCTAAAAATCAGTAATATGTAAATATATTAATTTTTTATGGTAGAGTCTATCTAGGCCTTCCCTAAAAAAAGATTAATTTTTTTAATGCTGCCACTACTAATATAACTTTGATTTTGATTGTTATGAATACTTTAAAATATAGTCCCTTATTAATATTTAAATTATTAGTTCGAAACTAATAATTTAAACAGAACTATGATCATTCCCAGTTATTGATTTCATCAAAGTATTATTCCAATAAGTTTTTAGAAAATTGTACCATTTATAATATAATATTTACATTTATCTGTATAGTAAACATCTATTTTTAGTCAAATTAATTATTGATTCAACAGACTTACTAGTAGTAAGTCAAAAATTATGAAACATCTATTATTTTTAATTGATGCATTTATGTCGAAACTGCATATAGAGGTTATAACAAATAATTTTTTACGTTACATACACAATTTTTACATGTAACTATGACCGACGCTGGAAATAAAAGGGCTAGTGAGAAATAAATTTACGGCGTTTTTTCATTAAAATTTTTTTAGTAATAATAACTTTTAATATTTTTCTCGCCAACTTAGTATGCGGTACCTAGTGTGATGTACTCTCACACACCCCTAAAATTAAAATTTGTTTTAGAAAAATATGTGCGTTATAATTTTAATTATCTATTTACTATATTAGCACTATATGAAATGATTTATAATTTTTAATTGATACTATTATTAAAATACCTTTTTAAACGAAGTAAATTCAACACATCTGTGTATTAATTCGTGTTCAAATAAACTACTTATCTTTATTCTTTAATCACGTTTGTTTTATTTATTTATTTTTTTTTTAATAACTAATCATTGAGTCTTCTTATGCTTATCTCAATACGCATTTCTTAATAATCTCATATTTTGGAGATAACTAAATATGGGATGATTTTGGGTACCACCATATTTATATCATAATATCTCTTAATGGCCTGACTTTGACCCCGTATTCCTCACCTTTTGTTCAGATATCTTTGTTTTTCACTGTGATTAAGTATGAGTTACACAAATTATAGTAATGTAGGTATATTTTTCTTTAATGACTAAATATTTTAAACGGTAATAAGCGAAATAATTTGAGATGAGAGCGAAAATAAAATTTAATATTTAATATTTAGACTTATTTTATTTACTATTGCCTGTGTATATTTATTATTTAAGTTACAGTATAGGTAAAAATTTTACCAAAAAAATAACATCACTATATTATATAGTAAAAGAATAAAAGCATTCATACAAATTATTAGATAGCCTAAATATGATTAATAAAGCTTTAGTAACGTCAAACTTGTAATAATTCTTAAAATCTTATATTAGTAACGCTGAAATGAAAAAGTGATAAAAATTGGAGATCTTTTTTAATGGGGAGGTAGATAATAATTCTCTAGTCTGAAAATGCTATTTAGAGTTGAAAGTAAACAAAAAAATATATAATCGACTATCCATGAAACTCATTTCTTATGGTAAAAAATCAAATATACCAAATTTAATAACATTGATTTGATTTATTACACTTATAAAACTTCTTAGTCAGTGGCGTTACCAGGATTTTTTCTGAGGAGAAAGAGCTAAAGGTAATTTTTTTGTTTATAACACATTGTTACTAATGTTAAAGTCATATACTATTAATAATAATACTTGACCAATGGTGAAGCTATAGCTCCTTTTCTTTAGCCTTCCCTTGGCTACGTACCTGTTCTTAGTCATTACAGATGAGTTTTTACAACAAATTCTGAATTGTTCCTTTTTTAAATTGGTATAAACTCATAAAATATACCTTTAAATGTCAGTTGCACATACAGAATTATAAAAGTGCAAAACATTTTATTTAATCACCCCAAAAAGGTTAGAAAAAATTTCTCAAAGCTCCTTATTTATAATTTGGTTAAGTTATAAATTGTCGATTTTAGGCGTTAGGCGTAAGACTAGATTATATAATTATCCTGTCATAGCCATAGAATCTCTTAGGTCTTTTTTAGATGCTTATTTATTGATAGGGGATATTAGAATTTTTTTTGAAATTTTAAGAATTTTTTTTTATAAATGTGGCAATCTAATTATGTATTTTGAATTGATTCCTTTTTATTTTGGGCGAATAACTGTTAACGTCCTAGTAGGTACTGTAGCATTTTAGCGCCCCCACTATAAATCTGCTTTTGTACAATCGTGAGTTAAGAACTCGATTTAAAATCATACTTGATATAGATTAATCTTTCATAATTTTTTATTATTTAATTAAAATTTTAGAATATGAGTTATCAAATTAAAAAAATGGGCAATTAGTATGGTGATAACTTTAAAATGTTAATAATATAATCAGGTATTTTTATCTTTACAATTGATTTTATTTATTAAATTTTTACTCGGCTTAAACTATAGTGAAATTTTCAAAAAGTATATAACATAACTTGTTTCTTATTTGAGTTGCGAAAAACTACGTCGACAAATTTATACATCAAATGAAGAATTACGAAATCATGTACATTTTATACTCATTAAATAAAAACAAATTATTATGATATACACATTGTACAGTCAAGTACATAGTAGTATAATTTGTTTATATTTGTTACCGTTAAAATTTAGCAGTCTATTGATATAAAGTTCTATTTCAATTTTATTGGAACAAATATCATTATTGTTTAGTAATTGTAAAATTCTACTTACAGTATTAGATTAATTGAGCTGCAGCCTGGGAAGCTAGGCAGTTTTTTTAAGAGTTGCATTTTTATTTTTAAACATTTCCCGTCTAAACTAGTAAGAGGAAGAGGTCATAAAAAAAATTTAGTATATGAGCATTCAAAATCTAAATACTGCTTTGACTTAAAGTTCCTCCTAGAAACGTATATTCCATATTTAAAATCAATCACAAGAGATTCATTATTTGATACTAAATTATCAAATAATGAATCTCTTGTGGTTATTATTTTTTTTTTTGAGAGAGAGAGATAGAAAATAGACTTAGATGGTTTGGTCATGTTATGAGGAGAGAAGAATCGGAAGCTGTAAGAACAGTTGTAGAAATGAATGTTGAAGGAAGAAGAGGTAGAGGAAGACCAAAAAGAGATGGAGGGATGTTATTGAATGCGATTTGAGGACAGCTGATGTGAGCGTAAATGATGTGGGAGATCGTGTCAAGTGGAAGTTTAGGATAAGGGTGGCCGACCCCAAGTAGTTGAGATTGAGGCGAGGAAGAAGAAAAAACATTTCTATATATTTTATAAAAAAAATAGTTTTTAGCTAAACTATACATATAAAAATGACTTTTTAAATGCTTTAAAACTTAATATTTTTTATGGTTGTAAAATTTTATAAATCAAAAGCTCAATTCTCCTAGATATAACTAAATTGTTTAAAATAAAAATGTGTTATTCTTTCGTTGACATATAAAATTCGAATAAGCCACTCAATCTTTTGATTTAAATTTATTACCTCGAAAAAATTGTTCGATTATGAGACAATAATATTGTAGATTTTTATGTTATTGGTTTTGTTTTCACGTTGGTTCATTATATAAATTTAAATTTAGGCAATCGTCATTGATGGATGATTGTACCTCGTATATTAAATCCTTTATAGTAATATTTATAGAAACAATTTAAGATACAGTTCTATTTTCTTTTCTATGCAGTATAAAAAATGTACACAAACATACATCTATACAATAGTACTACTTTAGTATTACTCGTCGTATGGTATTGGGCATAATGTCAATGATTAAAGTCCATCGTGAATTGTCTATAGTTTGTTATTGGTCGGTTTTCTCTTCTATCAATAAAAATAAATAAAGAGATTTTTAATAATGTTGGTAAATATGGATAATATTATGATGATGTCAAACAGTAGTGCATGTTTTGTAGGTAGGTACTATATTGTTATACAACAATAAGATTAAGTATTAATGTAAGTAATGACGGCAGTAGATCGAAGAACGCGGCCCAATGTATAATCACATTAATATGTTGATTCCCTTATAACATAGTAATTATTTAACGTTATAATTACATGCTTTTTAAATATATACATAAATATATAAATGTAACCTAAAGTGAATTATTTAATGTACAAAGTTCAATTACTGTGTTAGCACGTTGTTCGAATAACCCAGTGGAAATGTGTAAGTCCATGTAGACAATTCATCATAACTTGTTTCTTGTAAACATTAATGTAGTACTTATAATGTGAAAATGTTCTTTCTTTATTGCAAATTTTATTTTTATAAAATTTATTATGTTTGAATTAAGATTATCAACGTTATTTTTAGCTCGTATCTTTTTACTCGACCGTTTATAATTTTAAAATTCGATTATTTTTATTATTATTTACATATCCCTGTAAAAAAAATTAACCAGTATATGCATTAAAATGGTGGACTTGACAATACAATGTAGTCACATTTTTAATAAATTAAATGGTTTGTACTCATTAACATACTTTATAAAAGTAAATTACTGTATCTTTTTGATTAAATAACAGACAACAAGTTATTTTAAAACATCCTTGTGTAACTATTAAAATGCAATAAAAACGAATTTAATTGATTACTGATTATTATTATCATACTTTCATTACCAAAACTTTTTTATACAATATTTTTATTTCGTCTATCCAGTTTTTACAAAGTAAATAACATTAAAAAAATATAACTAAATAGGAGCGAAACTAAAAGAAAACGGCGAGTAATTTGTTTGTTAGTTAGTTGATCTTACTTTAATATCTGGTATAATAAATTTAATTTAAGTCTAGGGATAGCGTAAAGGGTGACCGTATTTTTAATCTTTTCTTTATGAATGGCTTTTTTTGATGTATATTATTAATCTTATAAATTATTTAATATTATGGGTAACCTAATTGAAAATTGATAATTAAAAATAAAATAAAATGTTTACTTAATCCAATGTGTTCAGTAATTTTATTCGAAATAATTTGTAGCAGAAACGGATCTTAACGGAATGCCAGTACACCGAGATCCGCCATACTTGCAGACAATTGATACACAACAAGTGCATTCTCCTCCTATGCCTGGCCAAAATCAAGCTTGCTCAATTTGTGGTGATCGAGCAACAGGTAAACATTATGGGGCTGCCTCATGTGATGGTTGTAAAGGATTCTTCAGGAGAAGTGTTCGAAAAAGTCATTTTTATTCGTGCAGGCAAGAACTTTTTATTAATTATAAATTTCATAGTACTTCTAGTATTTGAACATTATTAAAATATTATTATTTCCCTTATATAGATTTTCAAGAAATTGTATCGTAAACAAAGATAAGCGCAACCAATGCCGTTATTGTCGATTACGAAAATGTTTCAAAGCCGGCATGCGGAAAGAAGGTATGATATTAAAATATATTACTACATAAGTTAATATACAAAATAAAAATGACTAATTAAATGTATATATAATAAACGCAGACGTGTTTAAAGGTACTGGCCTTTTCAAACGAAAAATTTGTACTTTAAGCAAATTTGATAAAAAATAATGGGATAAGACCATGGGTGAATTTTAGAAAGATGTAGGAGTTGTCACAAACCTAAACTTTCATTAAATTCCGTTAGTCCACAAAAAAATAAACTGTTAATTTAGTGATAACTCTTATAAAAAACAGTTAAAATAACTAAGTAAGTATTTAATTAATCCAACCATTTATTTAGTTACTCCAACAGTCTGATTACTCTAACCGTATATTTTTTCGTGTGGTCGATATTTTTAGAATATATTGTGAAATTTTTTTACTTATTAGTTGGTAGGTTTCGTTAGGTTTTAGGCAAATTTATCATTAACATTGTCAAAATTCACTCTACATCACATTGAATATTAACTCTAAAATTGCACCAGTGTGAAAGTGATTTTAGAGAATTAAAACATAAATTGTAATTTTTTCCCTTACTAATTAAAATTACTGGTTGGTTTTTCTTTTATCAAAAAGTAATGTATTATTTATAATAATTTTTCTAAAAAAAAATGTTTTGGATAAAAAAATATTAATTCAGTTCCTTCCCATCTTGCTAATTAATTTTGAACTTTCATAATAATTTATTTTAAATATAAATTTTGGAGTTTAACTAAGATTTATTTATAGTAAAATTTCCTGTTTTGTTTAGCTGTTCAAAATGAACGCGATCGCATAAATTGCCGAAGGCCGAGTTATGAGGAACAGCCAAGTGCTAATGGTTTATCAGTTACATCTCTATTAAATGCAGAAATACTATCCAGAAGCGAATCAGATGTAAGCTTTTTTTATTGTACAAAATTTTAAAGAGTTGTTATATTTATTAATTTCTGTGAATTGCAGGCAGCCGATGATAATAATTTAGCTAACAAACATGTGGCAAATATTGGGGATGTGTGTGAATCTATGAAAACTCAATTGCTCTTCCTAGTTGATTGGGCAAAACGCATACCTGCATTCACAGAATTACAATTGAATGACCAGGTAATTATTATTTGTTGTTTGTGTGCAGCTTCTTATATCCACATATTAAGTTCCAAAGATTATAGTAATATCATATTAATAATTTATAATGTTTGTCATTGTGTAAGAATTTAGAATACATATTTGATTGAAAATAATTTCTCAATATTGTAGAATTTAATAAATCTAAAAAAGTTTTTGATTATTCTTATTTTTCAAAAGTGGTTTACAGTTAATGAATCACCTTGTCTGCAAAATATATATACATTAAAAAATGCCCTCGTACAATCTAAATTATGGTATACACTATTAACAAGAAGAATATAAATTATCTTATATGTTACAGGTTTCATTATTACGCGCTCACGCAGGCGAGCATTTGTTATTAGGTTTAGCAAAGAGATCTCTAATGCTTAAAGATGTGCTACTATTAGGAAATAACAGAGTTATAGCACGTCATGTTCCTGGTTAGTCCATTTTCTGATGCTTTAAATTTAAAATGTATACTTACCTAAGTTGTCCTATTCAATTTTTATAGATAATGGAATTCCATCAGATTTAGACATAAGCAGAGTTGGTACACGTGTTTTAGATGAACTTGTAAAACCATTAAATGATGTTCAAATTGATGATACTGAGTTTGCATGTCTTAAAGCGATTGTATTTTTTGATCCAAGTAATTTTTTTATAAATAATATCCTTATTAATGTTTTCAATTATATAAACACATTTATTCATTTCAGATGCCAAAGACTTACTCGAACCAGATCGTATTCGACGTATGCGCAAGCAAATTCACAGGAACCTAGAAGACTACATAAGTGATAGACAATATGAAACTTGTGGTCGTTTTGCTGAACTTTTATTAACTTTGCCAGCACTACAATCTATAACATGGCAAATGATTGAGCAAATTCAATTTGCAAAACTTTTTGGAATGGCACATATTGAACCATTGTTACAAGAAATGCTACTAGGAGGTGAGCAATAAAGTATTTAATTATTTTTAATACCAATACACTTGTTTTTATTGGTAAAATAGTTAAAAATGTGGCAGTAACAATACCTTACCAATACCTTACCAATAACTATACATTTTATTCTATTTATATTTTACAAAATAAATTCATTAAATTTTTTTTTTTTTAGGAGCTCCAATTGATACTGAAACAAATCAAGACAACAATAATGTACCATGAATAATTATTTTAGAATATGATAACTTTATTCAGGATGTAGCTTTTACTATCCATTATTCTAAATTGTATTAGTGTAGTCTATTAATTTCTTTATATACTTAATATGTTATGTAAATTATGTTGTACTAATAGTTATAATAAATAGTCTAAAAAACTTAATTTATTAAAATATTCATCAATTATTTAAAATGTTGTATAAACTAATAATAAGTTTAATTTTTTAAATTATTGTTGTTGATGTTATACTTATACTAACCTAAGCTTAAAACTTAAGTTGAAACCCCAACTACAATTTTAGGATCTCTACTAGATATATAAATGTAATTAATTATGTATTTAAAAAATGAGTATGTTAATAGTTGAATTGGACTAAATACATAAAGCGACAAAAATTGGAATAATTTTTTTAATACTAATATTTTATAATAATTACTATTTTACTTTTGAATTTTATAAATTGTAAGATTATCTAAATCAACCAAATTATTATGTTTCAAATACATATTTATAACTTTTGCATTAGTAAAGTCTAACTCTTGTTCTTGGCTATAAAATAACCCCAGGACAAAAAAAATATTTCAATTTAAAGTAATATATTACTTTTGTATTTAAAATTTTTAAAAATGCCCTGCATATTCAATTATTAAATTTATTTTTGACTTAGAATTTATCATTCTATTATATAATATTGTTTTAAGTTTCATATTATTTAAATAATTAAAATAAGAAAAACTGTTAAATAAATTGTTTTTAATATTTATTTTCATTTTTTGTAAACAAAGAACTTTAAAAATAAAATTACATATTTAAGTCAAACAAATTTAACTGTTTTATTTTCATAGAACTCTGTCAACAATTATTAAAATTTGATGAGTGGAATAAGATGTTTAATAAATTAAAAATATAAACAAAATAAAAATTTATTTATATACATATTAGTTTTAAATTATTCTAATTCTTACAATTATTTGGTTACTTTTAATACTAAATTTATTAATAATCACATGTTCACATTTTTTAATTTATATAATTTAGGAAAAATTTTAAATTAAACAAGGATTAATTAATCACTTGATAGTAACAAAGCTTATATAATAAAGAACATGTTTATTTACTCTTATTAGTAATAACTCAAATATACAATTCATTACTTACATCACAATCTCAGATACAGTAAAATTACTATTTAAAATAATTTATTCAGCCAGACGATTCTCATGCATTTTACGCTTTTTATAATTTAATATCATGGATGCAATTTCCATTTGTCCAGATCCTTCTAACAAATATGTATTTAGTTGTTGTTGAGCTACACGTGCATCATCAAATATTTTTCGTTCTATACAATCAAGTTTGTTAAAACATGGTTGATTATCTTCAATATTTTGTGCCCAATCCATAATTTGTTTAAATCGATTTGTAAAAGTCTATAATAATTGATAAAAGCAAAATATATTATATATCTTATAATTAATCTATAATCAATTTAAATATAAAATATGTATATAGGTGTATTTAATTAAAACTAATAAAATTATCCATTAAATGTTTTGGTCAATAAAAACAGTAATAATGGTTAACACAAATTAAAATTTTTCAAATTCCCTTATTTTTCCAAGATCTTTTAGTCAATTAAAAAAAATCCACACTTGACTTAAAAGGCGTAGGCATACATTATTTAAGTAAGGGGTGTTTAATTCTTTATATTATTCTTTGTTTACTCATTGGAGTTTTTGAAACTAGTGAGGTTGAACTCTAAAAACACATTTTATCTACTCCAACTAACCCAAAGTCATATGTATAGATTTATGAAGTATTTTGTATTATTGAACCCCTGTCTCATTGTTTTTTTATATAATTTGATTAAATGTTATAAAATATATATAATAGATAGGTATGAGTCCCCAATCACTTTAATATTCAAAATATAAGTTAGATTAATTTTTAAAAATTTGAGGTTAAATAATAAAATCCTTCACATTTCCAAAATTTCTCTAACAATTTTAAAATTTCTTTAAATTTTCATGATTTTTTAAACTTTTGTCAACTATTTCATTCATTACTAATGTATTGTATATAAACTACTTATAAGGAATTTTTCTATTAGTAAGAATCAAAATTTATTTTTATGAAGGTGAAAAATATTTATTTAAGGTAAAGTTCTTACATAAATCAATACTTGTTGGACTTCATATGACTCTCTATGTTCTAGTTGAGATAAAAATTTCCCAAACAAATAAAAATGTTTACATAACTTTTGTAAATCAACTACACTTGGATCTGCCGTCAGGACACCTCTGTAATAAAAAGTTAATTATTCATAATATCTTAACAAAAAACAAACAAGTAAATTTAAATTTTTTAGCTCTAAAATAATATAATCTATTGGAACCCAGGAACCTTTTATATAAGTTACAAATATGTTATTATATTTACCTGTATATTTCATTGTAAGCTTTGGGCATATCAAATTGAACTGATTTTTGGATTAGAAATACTTTTACCATCCACAATGGAAGTTCAACTTTTTGATCAGATTCATCATCTTCTTTTTCAGGTACATTAAAGTCTAGAAAACCTAAAACAAATTTTTAAATGTAACTACATATTTTAACACAATATTGACAGGGGCATATTTAGAAATGCATTAAAGAAGCACAATTATTTTTAAAACAATCAAGCTACCATGAAAACATTTGGCGACTGTTTTTTACTTGGATTAAAAGCAAACAAATAAAATTAAAATAAAATTAATATACATTTTTTAATTTATACAATCTATAAATTACATACATTTTTACAGTAACCAGAAGTGATCTAGGAATTTTATAAGACCATGTTTGATTGAAGAAACTGCTTATTAACAATACTTCATGAATTGAGATGCAAGTATTAATCTGCTAATAGATCATGACACCTGTTTTAAACGTCTACCAGGGTCATTTGAGATAGTATTAATGAAGAGTTCATAAATTAGAGGATTAAAATTAGCAAGGTTAATGAGAGTGATTATGTGGAGAGTGCCATTTGAAATAAAAGGAGGAAAATAAATAATTTTTCGGAAGCATTTTGATTGAAATATTTGCATTTTACCGATATTTGTTCTTTGGCAGTGCCCCAGAGTTAGATTTTATAAGACTATATGGGTTTAGTAGAATCTTATAGAAAAGTATTTTGTTATTAAGAGAAATATGTTTAGTTGTTAGTAGGAATTGTTTAAAGCGATTATTGGAATGATGCATTTGGGTGTATATGGATTGCTTATGTTAGCCTACAATATAGATATAAACTTAGTAGCAAATAAATTTGGGCAGTTGGACGTGGTAAGTTATTAAGTGTTATGGTAGGACAGTTTTAAAAGTAAAAATACAATGTATCAATTTAAATTCATTAATTTATAAATTAATTGGATATTACCATTAAATTTATAAACAAAAAAAATGATAAACTTTTATATATAATTGACAACATGTTATAATTTGAATTATACTTTGATCAGGGGTTATTATTTTGATTCTATTAAAATACTACAACTAATAGAATAACGATATGTAATTATCTTAACAGTAACACTTCTTAGAGCACTCCATTTTATTTAAAAAATGCTTAACAAAAAATATTTAGGCTAGACTAATGGAATAATTTATATTATATAATAAAAATTTATCACTTGTGGCTAATATTATTGATCATTATAATATTCCAATGTACCGTGTATGTTAGGTACAATTTTTAACTGGCCAATTCGATTAGTAAATAATTCTTCTGAACTCAAAATGTATTAAAAAATATATTTAGAATATTTTAATAAGATATATTTAATTCAAATTTGATATTAAATTCTTACCAATAGAGTCTATTTTTTTGGTGAATCTACAAGGTATTTTTTCTTGAGCTGCCATAATAGCGTCAATTGAAAAATAATGAGGCTTAATATTTCTTAACATATTATTAAGTAATTATAAATGAAAAAAAACTATAAATAAATTTGAATTATGTAACTGTATAATTTAGTAAAATATACTATAAGAGTAAATGTTACGTTTTCTCGGATGACTGTTATTTAATTTTGAACCGATTATCAATTGATAATAATAAGTTGTGCCAAACTACAACAAAAATACATATTACAAACTATGACTTTTCTATCATGTTAATAATTAATGTATAAGCCTATTAAATTAATAATTTAGTCATACATTTGCTAAGAAACTTTTGTGAAGTACACTTCACTATATCAAATGTACTAATATTTCGAATATGCTAATTTAATAATTATACTATCATAAAAACCCATTGTTGTAAGATTAATTATTAATACTACATATAAGATTTTAAACGAAATTGACTTATTCAACGATTCAAAAATATTTCATGTTAAATTCAATATCTTTAACTAACTCGATTGAATACTTCAGGATTAATTTCGACACCAATTGACACTTCTATAAATACTGGTTTCATAAGAGAAAACGACAAATTCACGAACACAACTAAAATAATTTATTTATACAGAATTTTTTATCGTAATTTCTTGAATATTATTTCAGCCAACATAAAATAATCATTATACAAACTATTTTTTTTGCATTATTCCAAAGAAAATTAAAATGTATCACAACTATCAAAGTTTTCAGTCAATATTCAATTAAATACTGCAAATTTCTGTCTCAATTAAAAATAAAAATAAAAATTCATAATGTGTTATTGTTTCTAATGATTAACAAATATATAAATACTATAAATTTTTATTTTTTTAAAGTAATTACACTTAAATTATAAACAAAATATTAGCCACTAATACAAATTACTAATTTTTCTAAAATATATTTATGTTATTAAACTACAATATAAATCTTGTTTCATTCCTTATTTGGATCACAGGTATACAAAAACGAACACTTAATGTCGGGGTTATTTGGTGACAGTGACCGCCAGAGATGCTACCACTCTAGAGAGCGATTATTATTGTACGTTTTATTTTTATTTTGTGTTAAAATACAATCTTCTGTTAGTGTACTCTTATTGTGACTTTTTAATAGAAGATCAAAGTATTTTGTTTGATAATAAAAATCGTATACAATTTAAATTTTTATCTTGTTTTTAATAGTTTTTTAAGACACCTTTAAAATTAATCTTTTCGCTGTGATGCCAGATTGAGTTTGCCAGGTCGAAGAAGCGAGTTAATATTTCCGATAAATCAAATAAGGTTTTTTTTTATTCGCTGGTTTAAATTAATAAACTTGGTATAATGAGGTCTAAGATCAAATCTTTGATCGGCTTTGAGTTGAACTTAATACCAATACTTTGTTCTCACTAATGTTGGTAGCTATAAACTTTTTAGTAGTGCAAGGTGCACCTTTTGATTGAGGTGGAGCTATCCTTTAAAAAAATCTCAAGAAGAGTGCGTAGATTAATTAATGTTGTTCCACTTAAATATTATCCATTAAAACACAAGTAACTTGATAAGTACTTGGCTTAAAATTGTTATTGACTCATCAAAAGTTTTTGTAAAAAAAAAGCTAAAAGTGACTGTTTGGAATTAAAAAAATAATAAAAAATGTATTATTATTATTATTACAAATTTATTAGTTATAAACAGGTTATTTAATTATAAGCATTTGTTAAGATAGTTCAAACATACCATAAGTCAGTACAAACTTTTATTAATTCATTTGAAAACTTTGTAATGAATTTTTTTTTTAATGTTATAGATTTGTAGATGATTAGGGGGTTACCCCCATACAAAAAATATTTCTATTTTACTATATAATCCTACGAGCATGTTACACAAAGTTACTTGGGACTCATCAAAATTGCTTAAAGAAAATTGATAAATGAATGTATTTACAGCCGTGGTGATAAATTATAAAAAAAATGTATTTTGAACTCAGTCTGTGATAACAATAGTTGTTAAAACAAAAATTTCAACGAAATGATAATTTATAAAAAATAAAATTTAAAATTATTATTAATTTACTTAATATTTATTGAATTTCATTTTTTGTATTTAGAAATTTTAACTCAGATAATCTTTTTAATTTGACAACAGGTAAAAAATTTGCAAATAATTGGCAGAAATTTTTTAAAACACAAATAAAAAAAATATATATATTTATTGGAAATATCTGTAATTGTCTATTTTATAATAGTCTACTAAATAATCAATTATTATCCTACTGGAACATGAAGTACAAGAAATCCATTTAATACACTTATCGCTATATTTTTGTACATCCTTTTGACAACATAGACACATGTTCGTCATGTTATCTGAATATTCTAACAACTATCTCAATAAACATCAGGATTAAAATTATTTATTTATTTATTTTTAAATTATAAACGGGTAAAAAAAAAACCCTTTAACATAATGCGATAGAATAAATACAATAATTTCTTAGTTAACATAAATTAAATGAAAAAATACAATTTTAACTAAATACTATCAGATTAATAATAAACAATTAGATATAAACAAATTACAATACACAATTAGATAATCGTTTATTAATTAGATAATGATAAAATTATAATCGGAATTGAAAAAAAAGTGACGAATTTTTATAGTCATTTTGCGATATTTGCCTTAAGTCAAATAACTCATAGAAAAATATTGTGGGAAAGTATTTTTTTTTTCGTCATAAAGTATTCTGAAAAAAACTTTAATTTGATATAGGTTTAAAGATCACAAACATCTTTAAAAAAATTAAATTAAAATATAATATAAAGTTTTTCCTTTACTCAGATTTCATTGGAAAAGAAATATTGTTATCTCTTTTACACTCTACTAAAATAATGCTACAATCAGTGTTTTTGAAAAAAGTTATAGCAATTTTAGAATAGAAAAACCTAGCACAGGGGGGTCACGGCACAGTGGTGACGTGGCATAGTTAGATAAAGTATAATGATATCTGACAGTCAAAAATAACGCTATGATGCAAATCTTTAGTAGCGTTTAATTTTNAAAAAAAACGCTTCGATGCAAATCTTTAGATAGTGTTTAATTTTAAAAAATTGGTGGATTATTCCAAAAGCTACATGATCTGCTATTTCCTTATTAATATCCTGATTAAGATAAAGTATGTCGAATGAAACAGGAATATAAATATTATTTCTCATAAAAAAATTGTATTGATCCATATATTATTCAATAAGTTAAAGCATTATAAATTTAAAAATGTAAAAAATGAAATCTAGAATTTTCACATAAGAATAGCATTGGTAACTATTTTTAACGTGAAGACAAAATAAAATCTGAAATTTTTTTTTTCCATAATAAAGTACATTACATTAGCTTTAATTTAAGATATATATAAAAGTGACAGACTTACCGGAACACCTTCAAAATTTAAGTTGAAAAAGTTAATTTTTTGTAAAAAAGTTGTCATTTTAAATCCTTCCCTGTGGACAGTTAAATNAAAGTTGTCATTTTGAATCCCCCCCTGTAGGCAGGTAAAAAGTCAGATTTATAAAAAAAATATACCAAATGATAGGTAAAGACATCATGCATCTACAAAAAAAAGAATTATATTGATCCATACATCTTTCGAGAAGTTATAGCATTATAAAGTTAAAAATATAAAAAAGAATTTTTTTACAAAAATCGTATTTTTTTTATTAAGTTTAATGTCTGTTTTCACCATGAAGATAAAATAAAGTCCGAAATTTTTTTTTACCATTATAAAGTATATTACATTAGCTTTAATTTAAGATATATATAAAAGTGTCAGACCTTCCGGAACACTTTCAAAAGTTACGTTGAAAAAGTTCTACTTTCTATATGCATTTTTATGTTTTGAATCCCCCCTGTATTTAGGGAAATGGTCCGATTTAAAAAAACAGTATGTCGAATGAAAGATCTATATAAATACTACTTCTCATAAAAAAATTGTAATGATTCATACATTTTTCAAAAAGTTATAGCATAATAAAGTTAAAAATGGAAAATACAAAATCGAAAATTTTCACACAAAAATAGCATTCGGTAGCCATTTTCACCATGAAGATAAAATAAAGTCCGAAATTTTTTTTTTTCATGATAAAGCATATTACATTAGCTTTAATTTAAGATATATATAAAAGTGTCAGACCTTCCGGAACATTTTCAAAATTTAAGTTAAAATAATTAATTTTTTGTGAAAAAGTTGTCATTTTAAATCCCCCCTTGTGGGCAGGTTAACGGTTAAATTTATGAAAAAAATGTACCAAATGAAAGGTAATGATATTATACATCTATATAAAAAAGAATTATATTGATATGTTCATTTTTCAAAAAGTTATGGCACTTTTAAGTAAAAAAAATTGAAAAAATTTCGAAAATTAGCGATTTTTAAATTTGTAATTTTTTTGGAGGTTTCCCCCATTTACGGGGAACGAGGGAATTTTTTCAATTTTTAAGGGTAATGTCTTCGACTAGATACGATTTGTGATCTTTTGACGTATCATTGAAAGAAATCGGTTCGGTGAGAGCTGAGAATAAGGGTTAACAGACACAAAAAAAAAAAAATAAATAAACACATCTTAGTAAAACAAATACCTTCTCGGCTTCGCATCGAAGCTAAAAAATGTTTAGAAAGTGTCATTTTTTACGTTATTGTAATTTTGGATATTTTTTTAAATTCTAAAATTAAGAAAGTTTTTTGAAATTTTGGACAATGTTGGATTCAACTAAATTAAATTCGGGTTATTTTAACGCATAGATAAACAAAATCGATCCAGTGAAAGTTAAAAATTTTCAAGGACAGTTACAAAAAAAACAGCATGGTAAAACCAATAACTTCTGAGATTCACAGGGAAGCTAAACATTATATGTATTGTTATACAGAACATATATTAAAGTAGGAAAAAAATATTAAAATATATCATTGACTCTCAAAATATTTATTCTATTTCTATTAATGTATATGATATAAACAGAACAAAAACTACACATCAGTTTCAGCATAAAAAAATATTGAACTTAAAAACCAATCAAATAATTGACGGTAACGTAACAATGGTGTTATTCTATTTTAGATATTGTGTTATCAATTTTAGAAGTGTACAGCTGACGATGACTCACTAGTCTTTAGTCGTCAACAAAAATCGATTTCAGATTAGTGTTAAATAATCATATTGTTAAAATATGAACTCATCTTATCATAAAGTTTTTGGAATTAACAACGTAAATTGAAAAATTTATTGATTAAATATGTTACATATTGGTATCCTTATTTAATATTGTTTTGGTAATTTTAAGTGACTATTCACTATTACGATTTACGAATTGATGTTGTTCGATAATTATACTAACAATATGACAAAATAGGTAAATTTTCATTGTTTTTGTAATGTTCTTAAATGTATTCACAATTAGGCAGTTAGTTTTTTTTTTATTCAAATATAACATAATTCCTATTATATTTTAGTCAACAAATCATAAATGAATGATCAAATAAAAAATAGTAAGAATCAAAATTAAAAAAATTATAATGGCTTCTAACTTAGTTACTGACTATTTGATGAATGATATCTCAAATAATACTGATATGAATAATGAACACGTCTGTAAACTAATCCTTTACTTGGAAATACCAACCATTAAGTAAGTTAAACATTTTTATTATAAAATTTAGTTAAGAATTATATTAGTCACTCCTTTCATTGTCATATATTGTCTATTGTTAAAATGACCTAAAATGTTGAGTTATATAATTTGATTCATAACCATACAATCAGGGGCATACTTAATAAGGGAGTAATTTTTCCTTAGACTCTATAGACCTATGAAGTGTACTATGAATAACATAATTAGCCCGACTATATCTAACAAAGAGTTATGCTTAACATGTAAATAGATAATATTTATTACAAATATGCGAGTATGTACAGAATATTTAAATCTAAAAAGTAAGATAGATTTTAAATTATAGTAGAAATTAAAAATTAAAAGGTGCTATACAATTTTTTTAAGACTTTTGTTCATAACTATTTTTAATCAAACAAAACCGCCACAATTTTTTACTCTCTGTGTCATTGGCTTCCTATTCTGCCCCTCCATACAATGGGGTATTTTAATTGTACTACATATATTTTATTAATACAGTTAAGTTTATTTTGTTGTTTAATTAAGTATGATTAATATACATTTAATTGATTTAAAAAAAATAACTTAAAGATAGTACATAATTTAAAAAATTTATTTTTAGCATATTTAAATTGATTTTTTTTTTTTTATTTTAGAATAAGGGTATGGGATGTTGCAATACTGATCCCGAACTTGATATTTATGGCATATTTAGGTACAAAGATAAGTCAAGCAAGATTGAAATTACGAGCTGCAAATAGCCCTATTTTCTTGACATTCTATTGTTTGGTAGGAATATTAAATTACATTTTAATAATAATATTTCATAAATAATTTGAAAAAAATTTATTAATGAAAAAAAATTTATTTATTTTCTATAAAAGTATATGAACTGTTTTATATTTTTAGGTGTTTTTTAATGTGATTATGAGTATTTTAAGATGTTTAATTTCAATGACACTCAATTTTAGCAATGTGACAGCAGACACAATTAATATAACTCTTTGGGTATTGGTCAAATGTTTCTTTTTGGCAACTGAAATGAGTGTTGTAGTTTTTGCTTTAGCATTTGGTTAGTAAAATATTTTTTTAGTGTAATTATTAATATATAATATCAGATAAATAAAATCATAATAATTTTTGTTGATTTAACTAATATTTTTAATTAATATTAATATTTAGGTCATATGGAAAGTAGGAATAGTATTAGATATGTATTGATTACAACATCACTGATATCTTTAGTATATTCTGCTAGTCAAGGAGCTCTGGAAATCTTCATGCCAGACTCTATTTTCAGAATTACATCTAAAGATTTGAATTTATTTGGCCATGGAGGTGTTATATTTTGGTTAATTAGTTCTGTTATTTTCACAATGGTAAAATATTACTATCTAATTATGATAAATACAGCTTTGATTAATTAAAACTTTATTGTAGCTGTACTTGCTTATATTAGTAATGCCTTTAACAAGTCTACGAGAAAAACTTCCTTTACCAGGTAAAGTGATATTTATATTGGAAAATCAGAATTTTTTTAAAAAATTAATAATTTTAAATATTTAACTTAAAAACTACTAATAATATTGATCTTTTAATTTTCAGTGAATCGCTCTTTTTATTTTTATGTTTTGATATTAGCTTTATTGAATGGAATTGGTTCAATTGGTTGTACATTTCTTTTGATTAAAATAACTGAAGGATTGTGTATAGTTGACATTACAACTTTTTTATATTTTACTTTGCTTACTCCTCTTGTCTACATAACGTTTTTAAGTACATTTTTTAGGTATGTATATAAATTATTACTTAAATTTATATTGTGATTTATTTAAGACTAATATTTAAATGATTCTAGTGTTTCTCAATCAAGTATCATGTTTTCTTACAAAGCTCAAAATGATGACCGGGTTGAAGATGATACTGTTTCATTGCCTCATCAACCTTCATTTTCATCGTTGAAAACTGATTCTGATTATATATATCAGGTATATATTGAGCTGTTTATATTTTAATTTATTATTTTCAATTATTTAAATTTTTTTTTGAAATTTACATATTCAAATTTTTTTCATTTATATAGACGGACCATATTTACAATAACACAAGGTTTTCAGTAGGAGACCGACAAATAGCAAACCCTTTGTATAATGCTTCTTTACAAAGTCCAGATAGTATAACAGGATATAGTATGGATGAGCAAACTATTGACATTGAAGAACAAAAAAAATAAACAAACTTTTAATTTAGCTATAAGATAATTGGTGTTCCTGTGTTGCATAATTAATTAACTTTTTATTATTAAATTTTATATTTTGTACATAACGTAAACTTTATATTACAAATACTTAGTCATATTTATCTTTAACTTATTGAAAATACCACCATCAATGTTTATTTACTTTTTATGTATCGTTAAATGTCTTTATTATTATTCCTATGTATAGATTGACTTATACCTTCCAAACACTGTAATATTTAGTATTGTATTGTGATTTCTTAAATTTAAAATTTTTTATAATTTGTATACAATAAGAACTAAATTTTTTTTGTTGTTTTTTTAATTTGCACAAATGTAAATTTTAAATGAACTAGAAAATGTATTCTATCTATTTTGTGCATTCATTTAAAACTATAAACAGAAAGTAATTAGCTGTTTGGAGTTAGTTGTTTTTGAGAAAACAATCTTTTCTTCTTGGGGGTTATATATTAGATAAATATCTAGGTTTCCAAAATCAATAAATATAAATAATAAGCCTAATTTCAGCCACGACCGCCACGAAAATAAAAATACAGAGCAAGTGAAAATATTAATTTGCTTGCTGAATAATTTTTTCCAAATTTTATGAATTATTGAAGTTATTTTTCGGTAATTATCTTAAATAAAATTTTTTTGGACAAATGATTACATACTATCGAGTGAATGGGATGTGACACCATTACCCAGGTTTCAGCTGTTGTGTAGTAATAGTCGTTTAGTACTGTGTCGCAATTAAAAATAATTTCGGTAGGGGATATTAAAGGTTATCATAACTAAAAAATTAAGACGTCGCTAATAATTACAGGGGCGCGTACAACCCTTAATCCCCTCTGGTTGCGCCACTAGTTAAGTGATTATACTTCTACTCTAAATAGCGTTTCTAAAATTTTAGAAATTGATATAATTTATTTGGTATACAAGATTATTACAGTTATCAAATTTTTGTAATTATAACAATCGATTGCACCAAGTGTAAAAATGTTAGTTGTGCTACCGGTGCTGTTGATTGATAATTCTGGATTAGAAATTTATTGTCGATCAAGAATTTTTAAAACCTTGATTCAACTGCTAAGGAGTTATGATTAATCACTTATTTTCCATGTTCAGTTAATGTATTATTTAGTACATTAAGATCGTTTTTAATAAACAATTTTTGTTTATAGTAAAAATATTTAGTAGGAGTTTGAAGTGATTAGATATGCTGATTATCAAAATAATAATAGTAATAATTCTAATTACACTTTTGACAAAGTAATGAAAAATCCATAAAAAATATTTAAATCTTAATTTTATCCTTATATGAGTTTCACAATATGCTAAATACATAATTTCAAAATGTTCAATATTGATAGAATAGTGATACACATACGATAGTAACGTTTTTAAAGTAAATTAAAATATGACCAAATTAAGCTAAATTTTGCTAAATATTATGAACATATCTTAATTATGTATGAGGACTAACTTGGCAATTTATATTTAAGTCCTAAATACTTAATTTGTAGTGTTAAATGCAATAACGATTGACATGTTAGGTCAAAATTCTTAAAGTTTACTGCGATATTTAGTTTAAAGTGCCAAGTAAACTGACATTTAAAAGTTTATAAATCAAAGTAAATGCACTTAAATGTCAAGTGTAATATTTAGAACATTCTGTTTAAAACGTCCATTCATTTCAGTTAACAAATGCTAACAGGAGTGGTTTAAAAAACTACGTTGTTACATTATTTTAATTGATACTTAATCGATTTAAAATAATAAGTAAATTAAAATATACATTCATGATAGGAAAAAAATGTATACTTTATGATCTATTTTCTGATTTTTGGTTAACACTAATTAATCTATATTCAATAAAATATTATTTTTCGACCCAATCTGATATTTTAAAAATATTTATGAACTTCGCTGACACATAAATTCTTATCTAATTAACATTTAATAGACTAAGGGAAATGAGCAGCACTATCATTTTCATTATCATGAGTATGTATTCACATTATTTGTTAAAAATAAAATAACGACAAGTAATGAGTTTACGCGACAGGAGTAGACTGAACGTTTATTAGAATTTTACATTAATTTTAAATAAGTTAATTGGTATTTGTATTTTAAATTTCTTTAAGTTTTTATACGTTTACGTCGTATTGTTTAATAATATACCAATTTGAAAACTATTATGGAGGTGTCAAATGAAAATATTAATGCCTTGAGGCAATCATTTGTGAACAAACTTAATGGACAAAACGGTAAATTCTCTTTATCTTTACATAAATAATTTAGTAAACATTAAGTTTTTGTTCATGTTGGAATTATACTTAAATATATCAGATTTATAAAATTAAACAATATTAAATTACACATTGTTTTGTTTTTTACATAATATATATATTTATATTTTAATGTTTAATTTTAACTTGATATTTAAAATCAATTATTATTTATTTGAAGAGTAATGATAAATTTGCTTGATGATATATTAATGCTTGTAATTATACTTTTATTTGTAAAAAGGTCATACCAAGTTTCTAAAAAAATGTTTAATTAAATACATTTTTTTTACTAAATAAAAAGAATTTTATCAGGTGATAATGTGCTTTAATTTTATTAAAATATTTATTAACAAACTATTTAGATTTATTTCACCCACAAGATCTATTTCGCATTAATAATTCTGATGCATGGCTCAAAAGATTTTTATATCATAATGAAAACAATCATGATGATGCATTAACTATGTTATGGAACGCTTGTGAATGGAGAAAATCATTTGGAGTGAATGGTAATGAAAATCTTATTAATATGCTAAAATACTTAGAATTTCTGTTTATTATTTTGTATTATACATTTTGGCATAAAAATACTTTCATTATTTTCTATTAAAGTTCATTTTTTTGTATTAATATAGTTTTTTAACAAGTAATATTTGTACCTGAATATTTTTATTTAATATTGCTTTCAACTCTTACAATATATTATTTTTTTTAGAATTGAGTGAATCAAATGGTAGTGTCAGAATTGATTATTTAGAAGAAGGTATAATGTATCCTCATGGTCAAGACAAGGATGGAAAACTATTGTTTATAATCAGATGTAAATTACACTATAAGAATTCAAAAGATTTTGAAGAATGCAAGAAATGTGCTGTTTATTGGTTTGAAAGAATGGAGAGGTAGCACTTATAGTTTTATTTAATTTAAAATAGTATTTTATTTAATGCATTTTACTTACAGAATGACAAATGGTGATCAAATAACAATATTTTTTGATTTGATGGGATCTGGAATAAGCAATCTAGATATGGAGTTTACCAATTATTTGATTAATTTATTGAAATTATACTACCCTGCTTTCCTAAATTACATTATAATTTTTGAAATGCCATGGGTTTTAAATGGTAAACTATTATTTTCAATTTATTGATTTGTCTATATGTTACCTTATCTCAACTTTATAGTTAGCTTTTCGGTAATTTGAATATGTATCCTTATTTTTTTAACTAAGAAAGTATTAATTTTACCATGATGTGTTTTTTTTTTAATTTAAATATATATAAAGATTTAAATTTTCTATTATTAATATTATTCACATGTTCAAACTATTGTTTGTGTTTGCTAATATTTTGTATCTTTACCATTAGCTTGTTAAAAGATATATTAAATGTTAGTTTCTTAAAGTATAAAATTAATTTTTACCATTTTTTAAGTAAATTCATTTTGTATTATTTCAATTAGCTGCATTTAGAATAATCAAATCATGGCTACCTGCAAAAGCTGTGAAGAAAATGAAATTTTTAAGTAAAAGTAGTTTAACTGATTATGTACCTAAGGATTCCATATTATCAATTTGGGGTGGAGATTGTGATTATGAATTTACTTTTGAACCTGAAATAAAAAAGAATGAAGAATCTAAAAAAAAGGTTTTATATAATTTATTGATTTTGTATTATAATTATTATTATGGCTTCCCCTTTAATTGTCACTAGATTTCAAATTATTGATTAGACTTTATATATTTTATTAAAATTATTATTATAGGTTCATTTTGCTGAAACAATGGAAGTGAATGGTTCAGGAGATAATAGAAATATAATCAGTATGCCTAAAGGTTAAATATTTAATGATGAAAATTCTAATTTCCAAATCATATATATAATTTGTTTAAAATGTTTCAGAAAGTAAACTTAAAATTCTTCCCAGTGAATTACTTATTTTTTCTAATGATAGCAGCAGTGCATTTAACGAATATGTGGCTAATGTTACTTTTACGAATGATCACACTGATACTATCGCATTTAAGGTATATTGAATAATCTCATAAATAATTTTTTTAGTTTTCTAAACATTTTAATAAATTTAAATTATAGATCAAAACCACCTGTCAAATAAAATATAGAGTACGTCCTAGTACAGGTACTCTTAAACCTTCAGAAAGTATTACTGTTACTTTTGTACTTACTGGATTATCAGTCAAACAAACTGATATATTAAGAGATAAGTTTCTTGTTCTAGTCATACCAGTAATTGAAAACAAAGATATAGCTGAATTGTGGAAGGTAAACAAATCATTTTTATTGATAAAAGATTTACTATTTTTACATTTTTAATAATTAAATTATATTTTGTTTAAGTTATTTTATTATTAAATTTAAATTTATTTTGTTGAAAAATAATACATTTTAAAATTCTTATTTTTTAACTTCATCTAGCATAAATTATTTTAAGAATATTATAATACCTTTAATATACAATGTGAATAACAAATAATTCTAAAATAATTATAGAACTATGTCATGGACTTGCATTTAACTAATTATTGGATGTCCATATAAAATAACTCTTCTGATTAAGACCAAAATATTCATTATGATTTTAGGTATCGAGTGATACGAAAGAACAACATATGTTAAAATGCAAACTTGCGATTGAATTAAATGGTATGAGTGGATATTCAGATCTACGAGACCATAATCATAATAATGATCTTAATCAAAAAGTGGAAAAATTAATTAAAGTGGTAAGCATTTTTATTTTGCAATAACTCACGATTCTTAATTAAGCAAACATTTTTCTACAGAAATAAAATAATTTATTAATTTTTTTTTAAAAAAATGTAAATAATTGTATTAAAAATTGTAATCCATGTAATAATTTCAGTCCAAAAATGAAATAGCTCTACTATTTTTTTCTTAACTTTGATTTACTTGTCTCAATAATTATATATATATATATATTGAAATTTTGAAATGATGATAACAGGCCGAGTCTGACTGGAGTGTTAACTTAACTATAGAGTTTTTGTGTAGGTTGAGGTATTTTATATTTCCCTACTGCAAAACTTATGTAGTTAAAAATATATCTTGTATGACCATTCTCGGAAGCGATCTTGTTTTCTGATCAAGTCAATAGAAAAACAAATTAATTATACATTTAAAAAAATGTTATTAATTTTCTCAATATTAAACTTTAAAAATGATGAACTTGGGGGCCATATGATATAAATAAGTTAAATGTATTGAATTTACTGTTAACAGTCATATTCTCTGACATACAAAAGCTTATTTATAAATGCTTATTCCCAATAATCTGATTTTACAGTTATTTGTTAGTTCTAAATATTATTAAAATATTTTTTTTTTTCTAACAAACTCCCCTATAAACAAAATTGGAATATACCTATTAATGTACAAAAATTATAACATTATTATTATTATTATTATTTATAATGTACAGTGAGTATTAAATTTATGTATTGAATTTGTTGTCTATTCTATCTATTCTCTGATTTTTAGAGTTATTTATACCTTCTCAGTTTCACATAAAGCTAAAATAACTAAGTATGAAATTAGTTTATAGAGTGCATTAAAACTAAACTATTTTGAATAAATAAATTGAAATTATATAATTAATAATATGGTTTGACACGTTTTTATATTATAGGTAACAAAATTGGAAATGGCAAACCATTCATTAAGCCAAAATGTGTTCTACATTAAATGTTCAATGTATTTCATACTACTAGTTTGTGTATTTACATTAGGTTTTTTCTGGGCAATTTTTTATCATAAATAAACTAAGATAATTGTTATACAATATTATTATGTTGAGTTTTTTTAGCTACTATTAATCTTTAATGTTCTAAATTGTGATTTTAATTATTAGTGTCATAATTTTTATGTTAAATTAAAAGACTGATTATTTAAGTAAGTCATTCTTTTTAAATTGTTATTTATATTAGTTTATACCTAAACTAAAAACAAAATTAGTTATCAATAAAATATGGTAGATGCAAAATATTGTTATTCATTTTTCGTGTTTGTATGTTTTTTTTAATTAAGTTGCTGATGAATCTTTGTTGAAGTTTAATAAGAAATTTAATTTGAAATAATGTTGTTGTATTAGAAGCACAGAGTATATAAGATTATATTCTGTGTTAAAAGCATACGTAAAAATTTTAAATTATGATTATTTTTATTATATTTTGAAAATATAATTGAAGAATGTTAAATGATATTTAAAATATCAAATAGCATAGGTACTCCACTTAGTATGTGTATTGACGCAGTTCTACCGATAGATATTGAAGGACTTTATGCAAAAACATTTTCTCATGGCTTTTTTTTGCAAAAGAAACTTTTTGTTTTTTATTTATTAATGTAATTTCTTTAAAAGCGCGGGGTCCTACGTAAATAAATTAAAAAAAAAAATTGGTAATTTTGCCTTCTGCCAGTTTTGTATTGACGCTCCCAAGCATAAAGATCGTTAACATGTTTGATCAAAATGAGATATGAATGCTTTGGAGTAAACGCGATGATTCTTTATTGATAGAGATGATTAATTTTACGAATAACTATAATGTTTAAAGTTTATTCCTAAGCTATTCAAAACGTTTCGACTCTTGTGAAAATACGATAATTTTGTTGGAGAACATTGATATTCGTTCAATCTTTTTGACGTTATACTTCAAAATATGATGCGTTTTAGTTATGTTTGTTATCGTTATACACTAATAGAGTAGTATATCCCAGCAAAATCGTACTACCTAACTGCTTGACAGATTAATTATCATTAATTTTTAAAACTGTTCTATTAGAAAAACATTTTTTAATACATTAAATTGTTGAAAAAAAAAAGAAAATATTTGTACACCATAGGTAATTTATCAAGTCAAATTTTTTTCGAAAAATATTCAAGATAATGTACGAGTGATATTTTTTCATTAGGTGACATAATGAAAAACCGTGGGAAACAACGTTTCTATGGAAACAGAACGTCGTTGATACTACTCTAATCACTTTTCTGACTTTAAAAACAGCTGTTTAAACCACAACAGTGGTTACAGTATCAAGTTTTTGACGGAATGCGTCAATACAAATGAGGGCGATAAAAAATGGCGACCGTTTTCCACCCGTATCGTACCACCGCCGAAACATCGATATCGGGCGTCAGCGTGCCGTCCCTGGAACCGATGCGCATAAGGCCGGTCGCCATTGTTGAGACATCGTAGTTTGGTTGTTACCGATAATATTTTAACATCCGTGGGTAAGTGCAAATTTTAACTATTATTTTTTACATTATATTTATTGTTGTCGCGGTGTGTGAGACGAAATGATAATGTGACAAGTGGCGTAAAGCGCGGCGGCGGCCAATCGCCGTGTAAATGAGATACGGTTGCCGTGTGGCAGCGCTTTCATTTCGCTGTTAATGCCCCCTGTGTACAAAATATGTAAGTAAAATAGTGTCTTAATTTCCGATAGGCAGCGTTCTACTGGGATGTTTGGACAACGATCCTCTTATCTATTACTACTTGGCTATTAATATTATTGTTTATTAATTTTGCAACTGCCGACAGTAAAGTTGATTCATTTTTCTACTAGAAAAGGGGATTGATCGGTGACATATTTGGGTTGCTTTTGGTTTATCTCGATTATTTATCAATAGACTTCCCCATGCATCTTTTGTGTATATGCGTACTATAGTTATCTGACGCCCACTAAATCTATAGCCGTAGGTCTTACCGAATAGCAGCCCGTTTCGATTAAATCAATAATATTCGGAACGAAATAACGTCTATATTGTGTCTCAACATTACAATAGTTATTTTGCATATTATGTATACATGTATGTTAAAATGTTTTTAAATATTGTAGGAAACGTCCATAATTTCCCACCATTTACATTTTAATCATATTTTATGGACCTATTTATAAGTTTAAATTTTATATATACATAAATAAATGTGTATACATTTATATTATTGTTGATAATTTGTTGGGTGACTGTTATTCGAATAACTTTGAAATAGAAATTTTTTTTTCTTTAATTACTTAATTAATCTAGTTGATAAATAATTTTGTGTTAAATTATTTATACATTATATAATTCTGGAATTTGTATTTTACATGTTGGCCAACTTATTATTAATTGATTAATTAAAATCATATAATTGTATTATTAATTAAGTAATATATAATTGTAACGTTTCCCAGCCATTGCCTTATAATCTGCAGAAAAAATAATTTGTTGATTATTTAATTATAGGTGACTGAATAAATCAACATGTCTGAAAATGAAAGCATCCCAGATGGGACAACTTTAGGTAAAAAACTTGGATAATTTGAAGAATGAAAATATCAAACATTATACGTGTCAAAATAAAATTTTAAGTGGCGTTAATTTCAAAAAACGATTAAAATAATTGTGTATTTTATGAAACAGTAGTTATTTTCATAAACTTGAGCTAATTGAATTTTAGTAACTTATCATATACAAAATTGATATTATTAACACAAAAAATTTATCAAGAATAAAACATTTTTACTTTTTTGCATTTGTAAAGTTTGACATTTTGATTCGTTTTTTCTACTTTGTTTTGTAAATTTATGTTTTAAATATTCAATTCTTTAGTAAAGATATTAGTTTATATGTATATATATATATTTTAAAATAAAAATTTTATCTTCAGAATGAAAAAAGTTTCAAAAGTAAAAAAGAAACTTCTTTTGTTTAATATAAACATGAATTTAATGATTGTTTTATGTCATTAAATTTAATATTAATTTCTTTTCTACTCTTCAAGTGTTTTCTATTATAATTTTTTTGTTTTTAAATAATTATATTAGTTAGAAAAAGTATAATTTATTATTTATAAAGTGTATAAACACATATTTTAATTTATTATACTAAATTTAAATTTGTTATTTAATTAGTTCTGAGTGATGGAAACACTGAAAGCACAATGACTATTGATACTGATCATATTAAGCTGGAAGCTACTGCTTCTGGAACTGAAAATATTACAGACATTCAAAATTATTTAGATTCTTTCAACAAAGAAATCGAGGGAAATGATGGAACTCAAGTTACTGGTGGTACGTTATTTTATATATTGTAACATTTTTTAGTTCAATATATAAAAAATAAAATAACTTAAACTGTTCTTATTAAGTTTATTTAATATTTATGCTTTATATTATACTTGAAATTTGTAGCAGATAGCGAATCAGTTGAACATGCATATTTTATTGATCAAAATGTTCAGTATTATTATCAAACAACAACTGGTGATGGTCAAATGGTTATGGTTGGAGGTATTTCAGAACAAGATGCACAACTGATGGCAGAAACAAATGATAATAATATGGAAATAGTTATACCTGGTCAACAAGATAAATCTAAAAAAGATTTAGCACAAGTAATCATAAAAATTATTTTGTGATTTTTTTACCTAACTAAGGATTATTGTTTTTTAGATTGTTGCATTAGGTGATGGCAGTGGATATCAAACTGTTACTTTGGTTCAAGCTGATTCTGAAGCTAACAACTATGTTTTATATGTTGTAAAACAAAATGACAAAAATGGAGAATCATCAAATGTCAGCATGGAAATATCTCAAGATGATCCAGATGATCCTGATATTAGTAATGTTTATGATTTTAATGATGGAGAAGATCCTACAATTATAAAAAAACCTATTGTTGTAAGTTACTTATTTTATGATACATTAATTTTTCGATACATAAAAATATATTTATATATTTACAGGATTCTGCCGAAGAAGATGATAAAAACAAAGTGGCAAAAATTCCACCCAAGAAGTCACAAACTGTAACACAAGCTCATATGTGTAACTATTGTAATTATACTACTGGTAAAAGGTAAATTTTTTTTAATTTTTCCAATAAATTAATTTTATCAAATAATAGGAAGATGATAAGAATTTATCACTGTGGCTAGTATTATTTAAAATAAAAAATATATTTTAAACATTTTTTTTACTTAAATAATAGAAATATTACGTATATTTGTTTAAGTATTTTTAATTTCTGTTAATTCTTTCATAAATACTTTTTAACTATTTTTGTTGTCTAACTTTCCAAATTTTTAAATATGTAATAGCTTAAATTATTAATAAAGACTTTGTTTTTTGTACTTAAAAAGATCTGAATTTTTTTAAATTTTATTCTTACTCCGACTTTTGAGGAAGTAGTAAAGTTTAAAAGTTATTTTATTTAATATTTTAGATACCTATTATCACGTCATATGAAGTCGCATTCCAAAGAACGTCCTCATAAATGCACTGTATGTGAGCGTGGTTTTAAAACATTGACATCATTACAAAATCATGTTAACACTCATACAGGAACCAAACCATACCAATGTCGCAGTTGTCCAAGTGCTTTTACTACATCAGGTAAACATTTAGTCCTAATAATATTAAGTTTAATTAATATTTTTGAGCTAGATTTTATGATTTCTGTACTAATAAAATGTTGTTAATAGGAGAACTTGTAAGGCATGTGCGTTATAAACATACTCATGAAAAACCACACAAATGTACAATATGTGATTATGCAAGTGTTGAATTAAGTAAAATGAGAAATCATATGAGATGTCATACAGGAGAAAGACCATATCAAGTATATTAAAAAAAATTAATTTATTAAACATTATTAAAATTTTTATATTTTCAGTGCCCACATTGTACTTATGCTAGTCCAGATACTTTTAAATTAAAACGCCATTTACGCATACACACTGGTGAAAAACCATATGAATGTGATATATGTTTTTCTAGGTTCACCCAATCTAATAGTTTGAAAACTCATAGATTAATTCATAGTGGTAAATATTTTATGACAATATAATTTTTTTATTTTTATTATTAGTAATAAGTTATATTTTTATATTTACTAAAGGAGAAAAACCAGTGTTTAAATGTGAACATTGTCCAGCTACTTGTGGTAGAAAAACAGATTTACGTATACATGTACAAAAACTGCATACTTCAGATAAACCTATTAAGTGTAAACGATGTGGTGAAGCATTTCCCGATCGTTATAAATATAAGGTAATAAATAATTTATGAAATGAACATCAAATTTTTATTTGAATGGTTAATCTTTATGTAAAAACAATATTATTATATATATGCTATTAATTCATGATTAAAATTATATTTAAATAGGTTCATTGCAAATCCCACGAAGGAGAAAAATGTTATAAGTGTGAATTGTGTTCCTATGCTTCCATGTCTCAACGTCACCTAGAAACACATATGTTAATTCACACTGATGAAAAACCATTCCATTGCAAACTTTGTGATCAAGTAATATATTTTTAAATGTTTGATTATTATTTATTAATTTAATATAGATTAACAAATTTACTATTTGTGCTTAATAATAATTTTTTTAGTCTTTTAGACAAAAACAATTATTGAGAAGGCATCATAATTTATACCATAATCCAGCTTATATTCCTCCTCCACCCCATGAAAAAACTCATCAATGCAACACCTGTCAAAGGTCATTTAGACATAAAGGAAACTTACTTAGACATATGGAAGTCCACATGCAGGACTCAAATGCACAGGACCGAAATACTGCCATGAAACAAAGAATAGAAGCAAGTTTACTGTTAATTGTTTACATATTTTTTTACTTATTTATTAATATATAAATATATTGAATAATATCCAAGTAATTAATTTTGTTATTTAATTTTTTAATAAATAGTATACTGATTCAACTAATGAAGACGAATCTGAGGAGGATACAAGTATTCCTACAAATGAAACCGGTGTTGTAGCAGTTGAAGGTGAAGATGGACAACAATATGTTGTCTTAGAAGTTATTCAGTTAGATGGGCAGGATCAAATGGATGGTTATACATCAACAAGTGTTTCTATTCAGCAGTCAGATGAACCATGTAAATACTTTTGATAATTGTTTTTTATGAACTTTTTCTAAAAAATTATTACTTAAATAAATAATTATTATAATTTAGCTACTGAACAAAAAGACTTAACTATTTTGAAAACTGCATCTCTTTTGGATGTAAAAGAGGAATGTGGGGATGGAGTAGAAAATTGCTTTGGATTTGATGATGAAGATGAAGAAGAAACTACAAATTCTGGAGTATAATAATAGTACTTCATAATTTTGTTATTTCTTTAAAATATTTTTCATTATCCTTCTAATTAAAAAAATTAATTTGAATTAATTATTTTATTAATATAATTTTAATTTTGATCAAACATCACTTGGAACACAAGTAATGGTGTTATGTATAGATGACTTTATATTTTAGATTGTGATGTTTGCCAACTTTTTTATTAATTAATGTGTAATGCCATAAATTGTTTTGTATATTTTACATTTGTATATGTAATTGTTTCCAATCAAGCTAAATGTATATAATTTTTGTAAAGTATTACTCAAATCCAAGTCATTAGCGTGTTTAATATTGAAGCAAAAGTTTGCTTTAAATTTCCTTCAATTCTTAAGTAATTTTTTAAGAAATAAATTTAAATAATTATGTTTTTAAAACCGAAAATTTTATGTTCTTGTATCCTAAGAAAATGTATATTAAATAGGAATTACTATAATTACTGTAAACAAAAATACAATAAAAATAAAAAAACTACTTAATTATTTTTGCGTTCATTGAGTTTAAATTTGTGAATAAGAAGAAACAAGAAAACATACATGTATTTAATTATTTAAAAAAGTAATATTAAATTTTTATTTTGGGCGTTAATGAAAATTGAGCATTTTGTTATTTTTTTAAAATTATTATTTTAAAGACTGCACCAACATATTTTAAATTAATTAAGTTACATAATTAAATTATATTATAATATTAAAGTTCTCTGTTGTAATAATCATTTTATTACCAGTAGATATTTGATTAATAGATTAATATACACACAATTCATAAATAGCTGTTCCATTTGTAGAAAATTTAATATTATGTATATATTTCTAAATGTTGTATATAAAATTATTGTTTTTGATTGCATTGTGTTCTATTTTATTTGATAAACATTGTCTTATTCAATTCTTAATGAGTAATAATTTTCTCATATTATGACTATTTAATATAGAAATGATTTAGTTAATATATTTGCATTATTGTAAAATATATCTTTAGGAGTGTGATTTTAATAAATGTCTATGTATTACTTAAAGATTTTTCATTTACCTTTGTCCCTAATGTAAAAATCTACCAAGCTATAACTAATCTTATAATTTTTAATCTAGTGAATATTTTGCATTACTCTTTATTTAAAATTTTTACATTTTGGTACTATCATAATACCATAATGTATATTTTTCTTATTAATAAAAAAAATATTTTAGAAAATCAAAAAAGCTTTTTGTGGAGCAGGTTAATTGGTTCGAGATAGTAAATATTAGCAATCTAATTTTCCCCTCCTTAAAGAATGTTTTTACATTTAACATATATGATTTTTCTTTATTTTATTCGGGGTGGTTAATTTATTAACATTCCTCTTATCATACGACTATGGCATTAACCCAATGTTTTTACACTAAATGGTTGCATTAAGTAATAAATTGTTTCCTTGAAAATGATTAAAGATTTAGTTGGCGTTTATAAATGTATAATAATACAAAACATTTTAGGAAAACGAAAATAATTGAACTTTTTTTGAGGACATTCGCATTGATTGTTTTGTTTGAAGTAAAAAGATAAAATGACAAGAAATTAATGCTCATGAGTGGTGCGTCACTGTAGCAGATTTATTGATATACTTTGTTGATAAATTATAGTACACATTATTGTGATTAGAATAAATGATAACAATATAAGAAAATATTGAAATATCCAACTGAATTTATTGACATTTGTTATATTTTTTAATGAAGTTATTTGTTATTTTTTATAATTAAATATAAGTGATTGAAAGACAATGCTTTTATTCAAACACAAATATTAGTAGATTCTTGTAAATTTCAAATCAGTCATACTTATTAAGATAACACTTATTTTGATTTAATTAAATTATGACAGAACGTTGGAATGATCATGGTAAACCCCAAAACAATCCCAATAGTAGAATGCCATTCAGTGGAAATTTCTCCTCTCAAAATTCAGGACAAGTAACACATTTTAATCATAATCCTGCAAGATCAACTTATGTAAATAGAGCACCAAGGTTGCCTTTTTATCAAAATGGTATGTATTTTTTATTTAATTTATATGTATTTTTGTATTTTTTAATTAATAAATATTTGTTCATAACTACCAATTTATGTTTAGATCAAACCTACCAAACTTCAAATACTAATCAACCTAATAGAAGTAATGTAAGTCATAGGTCTGACGATAGTTATCACCATAATTCTGAATTTAGTCTTGAACCTAAAGTAGAAAATTTTGCAAGACAAATACAAAATATATGGTCAACATGTGAGTTTCTTATTGAATATATTAATAATAACTTATGTTCAATATTACTAATGCTTGTCAAAAATATTAGGGAAACAAAGCAAAGTCTTGTCTGAAACACTATACAATTTTTTTGAATCTAGTCCAAATCCATATACTTCATTCCTTGCATTAATCAGTATAATATCAGAAGACAGAATCAAAGGAAAAGCTTCTACAATCATTCATACAAGTATAAAGCATTATTATTTATTCTCAACCCTTGTATAATTAAATTCTTTTTAACATTGTAAATTTATAGTATCTGAAGAGTTTTACAAATGGATTAAAATTAAAGAAATCAGTTATGCTCATATTTTAACTGATGATTTAAAATCACGTGCATACAAATTATTGTTAGAAAAACGAATTGGTTTGAATACTATGAATGTTGTAAATAAAATTTTTAAGTGTAATGAAAGCATTGATCTAATGATCAAATTGATTAAAGAATCAATAAGTCAAAAAAAATTCAAAGAAGTAAGAAGAGGAGACATTAATTTAAAAAAAAACTAATATTTTTTATATAATTAAAATTTTTTCATCTTACTACAGGCATGTTATGCTACAATGTGTTTAGATATTCAAAATAGATTTAGCATTGAAGATTTTTTAATACCTCTTTTTTTTCTTAACATGATTTCTGTGACAGAAGAATATTTAGCTTCCAGTAGATTTCAGCAAGAAGCTTTGATTAAATACTTAGATAATTTATTAATTGAAAATGATGATTGCCTGTATCAACTAGCCAAGTAATGCCTATATTATCAAATACTAGATTTTAAATATAACTTATATTGATTTAAAAATTTCAGTCGTTTGAATGTCACTCTTTCCAACAATAATTTCAGTAATAAAAAACAAATCAAAACCAATTTGACAAGAATAATGAAAAAATATAATATATCAAATGATTTTGCTCCAAATATTACTAAACAAAAAAGAATTGGGGCTTTAAAGTACTTGTTCTACAGGTATCAAAGTGGTACTTTAGGTAAAATTAATGAAAATTTTTTCAAAATAACTTGACTACTACTGTGTGTTTGATATTTAAGGTGTTGATGGTTGGAGAGAAATGACTTTAGAGTCAATTGGTGATGATATTGAACTTGCACTAGAAATAATAAAAATATTAGATCATAATAGTGAATTTCAAGAAGCAATTTATATAGCGCAGTTATTTTCTATAGACTCGTATTCTCTACCTCTTTCATTACAACAAGAAATGTTGTACAGAAATAATGCGTATGTTATACTGTATACATTATTATTATTATAATTAATTATAATTATTGATAAAATTATATTCTCTACTATTTTATAGAAGTGTTTCATATGTTGACCAACCTTTAGTAACAAATGACGTAACTACATTTGATTACTATGAATTATCGTTATCAGAAAAAGATATATACATAATTGATTCTACATCAAGATTTGATGAATTTCTAGACAAAATAAATAAAACGTTTGATGATGGGTGTTCAAATTTTGTTGGTCTAGATTGTGAATGGAAACCAGAGTTGACTAGTGAAAAAAGTGATCTTGCTTCCATTCAATTGGCTACTAATAATGGAATTTATATATTTCACATTCCACAATTGCAACCAGCTGAGAACTATAGATTATATTGGCAAGAGTTTTCAATGAATATATTTAGTAATATCAACATTTTAAAATTGGGTAAGTGTAAAATTGTATAATACATAATTATATTTTTAACATTAAATCTAGTAACTGGAGGTACCTTAAGACAAATTATTGATCAAAAATAGTGCTTGTCAGTCATTGCTTCCTTATTGACTTGATCATTTTAAATTTAGGTTAATTTAATTAAAATCAAAATCTCTTTCAACTTTTTTTTTATTATATTAAATTTTTTAGGTTTTGAATGGAAAGGTGATGCATCAATGATAAAATCAACATTACCTATTGATAATATGTTAAGTGGACCTGGATTTCTTGATTTAAAATTACTGTGGAAAAAACTTGAATCTTATTACAATTTCCTTCTTCCTTTCCAGGGTATTTAATTTTTTTTAAATTAAATTAAAAATATTTATTACCTAAAATTTTAATTTAAATATTTTTTATTGAATTTATTTATATTTAAAAAAAAAAATTAACTATAGATCCTAGTGACGATATGAGTTACAATAGTCTCTCAGATCTTGTTAAATTGTGTTTTGGAAAACCTTTAAATAAGACTGAGCAATTTTCCAATTGGGAAAAAATCCCATTAAGGCCTAGTCAAATAACTTATGCAGGTGAGAGAATATTTCTTACAAAATATAGATTTTGAAAAAAGTCATTTTTTTTTATTTATGTAAACTCAAAATTATATTTAAAAAAAATTATGAATTGCTAAGTTTTATTATTTTAATAGCATTGGATGCATACTGCCTTATTGAAATATATAATATTTTTAAAATGTGTTGTGATACCAATGATATTCCATTGGAAGAAATATGTCAAAAAATTATGAACAAAGGTTATTCTGAAGTATCAAAACCTAAACTAAAAAACAAAAAACACAAACCAGTAAAATCAATTATTTACGTATTTATAATTTTATTTAAAATTAAATTTTATTTTGATTCATAGAAATTGTTAAAAACCAAATGTGAAAATTCAATATTTACCAATATTTCTGGAGTTAAAGATTTCAAAATGCTTGTTCCCAATACTTTAGAAAAATTAGCTGAACGATTAAGAAAATGTGGTATTAACTGTACTATTGTGGATCGATCAAAATTATATAACTTTGAAAGTGTTATTAGTCAAATAAGAGAAGAAAATTTACACTTTATAGCTTTTGGACATTTGTACCAGAAAGTAAGTTTTTTTCTATATTTATTTATTAAAAAATGACATTTGTTACATTTACTATTACTATATTTATAAGAATATTTGTTTTGTATAATTACCCATAAATTAGTGAATTCAATGAAAGATTTTTTTCAACTTATTACAGTTTAAAGTGAATTCAATTTATTTCCCTAATAATTGTAATTTTATAATAATTTATAACAAAATGTGGAATGAAATTATTTAAACATTTTTTTTTTTTTAAGGCAGCTGAAATACTGCCAATTGGTCAATGTTATTGCGTGCAAAATCATAATCTAGACGATCAATTACAAGAAGTGTTAAATTATTTCAACATAATGGTAAAGAAAGATGATTTAAACAGTCGTTGTCAGGTATTATTTAAATTTGATATTATAAATTATAAGGTTAAATTTAAAATATTTTGTGAAAAATTATTTAATGGAGTACACTCAAACTATGTATTCCAAAATTTATATATTTTTTATTTTAATTCTTAGTAGTGTTATAAACCTATTTTAGAATAGGGCTTTGCTTCCGTGCCACAAAATGTTTTATTAAGGTATTACATAATATGTGAAGTTTGAATAATTCCTGTGATAATATGGGACCTCATTTAATTTTGAACTTCGGGCTTTGCAATGATTTAACCCAGACTTGGGTTTGCATATAGGATTTCATTATAAAAATAACTTTTAAAATAGTTCCCAAATTAATATTAAGAGGTGTTAGCATAAGGTGGTTGAAGGATATTTTTAATAATTTAGAAGAGAGAATGCCAAAAGAATAGAGAAATACTTTTGTGGTGCCCATATTTAAAGGTAAAGGAGTCATGCAGTAGTGTAAAATCGTAAGGTAATAGAATTGAGATTTGGGGAAAAAAAATGTCAAAAGAATAAAGAAACATTAGTAATAAAAAACCAATTTGATACTTTGCCTGTGTGATAAGAGAATTATAATGAGATTGAAAGGTAAGTTCTATAAGACTGTCTTAGACCAACTATAATGTATGGTTCAGAGTGTTGGGTGGTTGACAAGATAATAGAGAGCAGAAATGAGAATGTTTAGATGGATAAGTGGAGTGACTAAAGAAGATAGCATAAGGAACGAACATAAAAGTGAGAGTATAGGAATAGTGTCAATCGTGGATAAGATAAGAGGAAATAGACTTAGATGGTTTTGTCACGTTATGAAGATAGAGGAATCGGAAGCTGTAAGAACAGTTATAGAAAAGAATTTTGAAGGTGGAAGAGGTAGAGGAAGACCATAAGAGATGAAGGGATCTTATTAATTGTGATATGAGAACGGCTGATGTGTGCATAGATAATATGGGAGATTGTGTCAAGTAGAAGATTAGAATAAGGGTGGCTAACACCAAGTAGTTGGATTAGTGGTAAGAAAACAGAAAAAGTATAATATAATATTGAAATAATTATTTTGTGATAAAATATTGGTATCTTCTTAAAGAAATCCATCTAAATATTAAAATATTATTTATTTTAGTTTTGTAATAGTGATAGTTATGAGTCAGTTAGTAGTTCAATAATGCAAAAAATATACAATTCAATAATTAGTTCTGCAAATAAATCTGTCATAAAAAGTGGTCCACCTCCTCCAGACGAGGATGATATTTATGACGACTACAGTAATTTTGATGATGAAATCTCGGAAGACGAGGGTACAGCTCCTCCATGCAATTCTAATTATGTAGCATCATCTGCTTCTTGTGGAATGACTAGTAGTGATCCATATAGTCAACTTTTGACTGGTTTTACTTATGAAAATTGGGAAATAAATGTTAGTAATTGAGTATTAATTGTATTAAAAATTAAATATATATTTATATTTTCTTTATTTTAGATAAAGCCTCTATCACCAGATATGTTTAAAGATCCCACGAGAGTATTTAATATATGCAATAAATGTGGTTCAGTTGGTTGGGATAATTCGCAATGGGAAAGTGCTTTAGGAATTAGTTTAGGTATTCAAAATAATAAGAATTAATCTTATTTAGTTCTTAATTTATTACAAAATCAATGACTATATAATTGTTTTTTTATTTTAAAACAGTTAATGACAGTTTTGTATAATATTTTAGAATTACATGATAACCAACAAATTTAAGTTTTAATAATACATAAGTTTGCTTGATGTTTTTCTTGTATTATAAATATATATAATATTATTTTATTATTGAATCAACTGTAACTCTTTAAATATGATCACCTTAATAGTTATCAAAATGAGTTAATCTGTAAAAAAAATTAAATAAATAATTTTAATTAAGTAAATAATAATAGTACATATGTTTTGCTTATAAATTGCAATATTCTTTTAAATCAATCATATAGATAATTATTAATAACCGACATGTTGACATTATAATTTGTTAACTATTTGACAGTCCTTAGATTTTAAACATATATTATAAATGTATTGTTTATATTTTTCATTAGAACTATTTACTTATATAAAATGAAAAACATTTGAAAACATTTAACTAATATAAAATAATTATTGTTGAATAAGAACTATACTTAATACTGTAGTTCCATAATATTTTTTAAAATTTGAACATCAAGTTATATTAAACTTGCATTTGAAATAAAATGTGTAAAGCTAAATAACTCTATGACTTATACTATTATTAAGTTACTTATAAAGAAGAGCTTCAGATTTATTATTTCCTAGACCAATATAACCACTATTTGGTGAAAAATCAATGGATGCTATTTTTCCTACATTTGAGTTTGTAGTAGGAAAATTTGAAAAAACTGTTTTGGATGGTACATGCAACTAAAAAAAGTTTTATTTTAATAAATTTAATTACGATTGAAATATTACTTTATTTTACCAATTTTATAGCATCATTTTTGTGATCTGAAACCATTGCCAAAATATTTGAATATTTATTGAATTTTAACTTGGTTACAGCAGTTACCAAGTTAAGAATAGTTTTTTCAGGTTTAGGTTTTACATCACATGGCAATTTATACAAATTTACGACACCTGATGATGAGCCTGCAGCTAAATATTGGTTATCATTTGATAGTGCTAAAGTAGTACCTTGAAGACAGCCATCATCCATAAATTTCTTAACACATAACCGATTTATCATATCCCATTCATAAATTTCTCCTAAATCTAAGCACAGAATTAAATTTAAAAAAAAGTTGTTTAAACATAACTAACTATTTTATAGTTATTTTTTATTATCTTTTTTTTTTTTAAATAATAGTTTCAATAAATAGATATGTAACTCAATTTTAAACTTTTGTCAGAGCATTTATTTACAAATCTTAACAATTTAATTTAATTTCATAAGGAATATTCATTCAAAATAATAATACAAAATATTATAGATTATACTTGTGATAATAGTGATATTAATAAAATATAATACAAAGGAATCTACTTGTATACTTACATAATACAAAATGGTTTATTTTTAAATTAGTTTACAACAAACTACCTGTGTATTATTATAAGTCAGGGGCGTGCCTAGGTAAGGGGTGGTTTTGAGGGTTCAAACCACCTCCAAATTGACTTTTTAAATTTTTAACCTTATTTTTTTCATGAAGTTATAATTATATATTATAGTACATTACAATCACGGTGAAATAAAATTTTGTTTTTATAAGATTATGTCTTCAAATGTGTTTTTAAAATATAGTGTTAAAATATTATGGGTTTTTATGAATACACTTGGGATAGTTTATTTTATGCATACTTATTTTAATGATATAATGGTAAATTTAATACTAACATCAAAAAATTTGAATCACCCTCAAAACAAAATTCTAGGTACGACCCTGATAAAAGTATTACCTCCAAAAGAATACATGCGTTTTCCATCAGAAGTAAATGTCAAAGCATTTACTTCACCATTCATCTTTAAAGTTGTTATCCATTCTTTACTTGAAGAAGTAAATAAATGAATGTCTCCAAAATTTCCACAAGAGGCAATTATTTTACCATCTGGTGACATACAAAAATTCTAAAAATGATAGTTAAATAAATTAAAAATGTAAGTAAAAATCAAGTATGTAATCATTTTACATCCATTTTAGTCACTCCAATAGTATGATGAACTGGAATAAACATTGATCTTCCTTCCATTAAATCATAACAATAAAAATTACGTTGTGATCTTGATCCCACTACAAATTGGTAACCATCTGTAGTAAAATGTGCACAATCAATAGGAAATTTTTGGAATTTAACAGATTGTAATTTTTCATTTTTAAATCCATCTACCTAAAAAATGTTTAAATTGATTTGAAGTTTCTGAGTACACAAATAGATATAAAATAAATACTCACTTGTACAACAGATGCCCGACCTGATATACCAGCAATTAAAGCCAAGTTACTAGTTGGATGGAACTCTAAAGATTTTAGAATTTTGCCACAAGATGATGTTGTTAGATTTAAATTACGTACTTTTTTCAAACTGATTAAACCCTTGGCTAGGTTAACACCTTTTTTAGATCGTGCCAAATTACCACTGTACTGTAAAATTAAGTGAAAAAGTAGTAAGAATAAAAAAAATAAATTAATTAATAGTAGTACTTTAAGAATGTCATCAGCACTATCTGTATCATTTTTAGACTGTTTTTCTATTTTAGCCCATTTTGGTTTTCCAACAATACTGATGTACTTTTGACGTAAAATTTTATTTTGCTCTTTTCTAAAAATGATAAACAAAAAAGTTTTAATTATTAAGAGACTATCATTGTAAATTTTAGTTAGAGAAAAAATTCTTATTTGAACAATAAATTATCAATATAAATACTTACATAGAGTCGGCTTCATCATCTTCATCTTGCCATGCTCGTTTCAAATGACATTTATTTTTACTTTGACTATCCATCATATTATTACTATCTCTAAAAAAAATAAAACTAATACTCTTAAAAAAAATCTGTAAAAAAGTTTGTACTGAATCAGACAACTAATATTAAAAAGCGTTAAAAACAAATTTTTGATAAATTCATGCAAAATCATGTTTTGAGTATATGATCTCAATTTGATTTTGTATTAACACAAAAATTCACTCTTACTTTAATTACAATATTTTATTGATTAAAATTAGTTTGAAGTCCCGTACTCTTTACAAATCACCTAAAAGTTCCATTTTTTGACATGAGTTGATAAAACCTGAACCAAATAAAAATAAATTATACTTACTCAATTTCATTGTGATCCATATTTATTAAAATAACGCATATGAAGGAATTTACTAAAAATTTGCACGTGTTTATGTTTGACAATATTGTTATCAAAAAAAAAAGATTATTTTTAACGTTATCAAGTTAAATGATAAAAATCAATATGATATCAAAACCACAAATATGTATTTCTGTATTATTATGGAATGATTAATTATTTTGATATTTTCTAATAGAAAAGTCACAATTTTGTCTGGTCCTAACTGTTCATATTTTCATATATATTTCTTAATTGACATTACATTAGACTTAGTAGCAATAATTAATTAATTCTCATCCTATTACATGAAATCAACCTGTATTACTATTAAATTTTTAACTATTGCTGATATATCTTTGTAATCTTTTGATACTTAAAGATTTGAAGGACTCAAAAAATAGTTTATGACAATTTTTTTATGCAAATTAACTCAGTGTACTGATATAATGATATTGAATTGTACCTTAAGAATAATATAATATTAACTTTTAGATAAATCTTTAAGTGGAAGTATTTTTTGATCAGTTGATCAAAAAAAATAAGATTTTATTAAAAATTTAGCAGTGCGTTTATTGAAATTGTTAATCATGGACATTTTTTTTGCTATTTTATAGTATCAATATTCTATTTTTTTTAAACAATAATTACATAGTATGTAATTATTGTTTTATATTATTTATATGTATATTAGGGTGGCCCTCAAAAATCGAATGTCTTTTTTTTTTTTACGCTACCCCTTAATTTTTTTTTAATGGTCAAAAAAATGAGCTGTGCAAAATTTGGGACCGATCCGTTAAGGTTAACCCGTGCCCCCGGGCCTATTAAGTTGAGTCGAAGAGTCAAATTTAATAGAAATAACTGATCTATGTCTCATAACTTTTTTTTCTCTTAACTTAGAATAATAAAAGTAAAACTCAAGTAAAGGAAATTTTACAAGAAATTCAAAAATAATAACTTCAATGTTGTTTTCTCAATAAATAGCCCACAAAAACACTACATACAGTAAAAAACATGTAAAAGTCTTAAAATACGTTATAACTGATTTTGTTGATTTTTAATTATTTATTTTCATTTTATTTTTTGGAAAACGCATATTCGTTTAAAAAAAGATTCTAGAAGTTTAATTTTTTATGCCAAGTACGATAATTATATTAGATTTATTATTTTATGGACAGTTAATTAATGATTAATTACAAACCTAACAGTTTAATTTAATTGTTATTAACAATTTTTAATTTATTTTTTTTTAAATAATAATAACTTTAAAAAAAATATTTTAACAATAATTAAATTATATTATTATAATATATTTTTTGATAATGTACTTTTTTTACAATTAGGAAATTTTTTCCGATAATTACTTACTATTTGTAAAACGTATTGTTTCTGTTCTTCATTTGTAGTTAATATATTAATGTAGTCTTAGATTAATTTAATGCCACGCTAGGCTGTATCATTAATGACTCGTAATTTACTTATAGTATTTAAAGCATTTATGTAACTGTTGTTCGCACTCCAAAATGATGGATCAATTTTCAAAAAATCAGTGTTCAGATTAAATAGTTGTAAATTTGATGGTAACTTACTACCAGTTATTCCGTGGGAATAATTACCAATAAGATAAATATTAGTTTGTAATACTTTAAAAGACGCTAAAAGTATTGTACATATGTGATTAAAACGTATCATTTAATATATAATAATAAACAGGTAAAATATATTTAACGTGTTCACAAATTGTCTACTGCATTTATACAACACAAATTATGTCAGTTGTCGAAAATAACTCAAACATACTTATCTTTAATAATAATATAATTGGTACTATCTTAAAGTAATTCAGTAAACCGAAATTGATATATTGATACGACAAAATGTAATAATACAATCAATTTTGTTAAATTTGTAATTAATCATTAATTAACTGTCCATAAAATAATAAATCTAATATAATTATCGTACTTGGCATAAAAAATTAAACTTCTAGAATCTTTTTTTAAACGAATATGCGTTTTCTAAAAAATAAAATGAAAATAAATAATTAAAAATCAACAAAATCAGTTATAACGTATTTTAAGACTTTTACATGTTTTTTACTGTATGTAGTGTTTTTGTGGGCTATTTATTGAGAAAACAACATTGAAGTTATTATTTTTGAATTTCTTGTAAAATTTCCTTTACTTGAGTTTTACTTTTATTATTCTAAATTAAGAGAAAAAAAAGTTATGAGACATAGATCAGTTATTTCTATTAAATTTGACTCTTCGACTCAACTTAATAGGCCCGGGGGCACGGGTTAACTTTAACGGATCGGTCCCAAATTTTGCACAGCTCATTTTTTTGACCATTAAAAAAAAATTAAGGGGTAGCGTAAAAGAAAAAAAGACATTCGATTTTTGAGGGCCACCCTAATGTATATAGCATATTACACTACATTAATCCATTAAATCAATTGTTTAAAAATTGTATGTTGTAAAAATAACTGACACAGTTTTCATTTATTATATAATTACATTATATTATTCAAATAACAATTTTTTTTTACTTATTTAGAGAGCCATATTTTACCTTAAAAATAAGGCAAATAACTATAAACGAGAGACAGCAAAAACAAAATATAATTATGGATATTTGTCTATACAAAATTGGTTTACCAAATTAATTATGTGTATAAGCTGAATGTCATTTATAAAAAAATTGACATTACATTACTCCCAGACTTATTTAACCTAATGATATACAATACACACGGTACAACAAAAGTTCATTCAAATGAATGGTTTTCAACAACAATATCAAAATTATTTGATAACAAAAAATAACTTAATTTTTTATATAATTATTTGTGTAAGAATTCCTGAAATATTTAAAATATCAGTTTTAATTCACAGAATAATATTTATATTATTTTCAATCATATTTAATTACTAGAATTTAAAATATGATCAGTTGTGATAAAAATTGTATGAAAACCAATACATTTCAATAAAAATTTTTATAATCCTTGTATGTGTATATTTATAAATAATAAAAAAAAAATATATATATATATGATACATAAACAATACATTTACATAGTTTTTTACAGTCTCAACAATAAGTAATTTACATTTTATGGACAAAATATATTAATCTATATTAAACTTTTTTTTTGTTATTTACAATAATGATTTAAACTACATATATTCAATATATAAAAAGTTAAAATAAAAAAATAATAAAAAACAACATAATTCAACTATCTTAACAAACAAACAAAAACATTTGATTTATACAAATTAAGTGATATATTGAAAATAAATGAGAATCAAGCAAAACTTTTTCTAAGAGGTTTTTATGTTTTAGAAGATAATAAAAAAATTTGGCCCCAATAAACAGAATAATGATTACAATAGTTGTATTACTCAAAAATCCCATTGATTTAAAACAAAACAATTTAACTTTAAAAATTAAAAATATACATTAAAATTATTTGAAAGACAGTGTTTTGAAGAATAATTACATAGATATACAAATCTTAAACATTTTTTAAAAATAATACAATAATGACTTTCAAATTCGATGTAAATTTTTGTAGTAGAGTTTAAAAATTGTTTAATTTTTATATTTTTAACAAAAGAAATTTTAATCAAGGGATTTAGGCATATTAATTAGTAAAAAAAAATATTTATAAAAACACTGTATGTCCATAAAAATATTATAAAACGGCTAGGTATCAAAATTATTATTCATATAATATATATATATATATATATAGATTTTAATTTGCAATTATTAAGACTATCACCTGGTTATTGGTTAGAATATTGTATTTTAAATAAATTATGTGAAAAATTATTAAGAAGAGTAGGACTATAATTTATAAAATATAATTATGTACATGGTATTTCATTTTACTGTGTGCACAATAATTGAAAATAATATTTTAATAAAAGCAATTTTTTTAAACATAATCTACTAGAACAGTAAAATATGTATAAAAGAAAGTATCACTATATTTACAAATCTAAGTTAGTAAATTTAGCTTTGTTTACACTGTATACTTGTAACAATGTTGTTAGTTTTAATTAATACTTTTTGAAAGAAAAAAGGAATATGTAAATTGTTTTATGTTGTGTCAATTATGTTTTAAAATTTAAATGATAAAATTTATAAACTATTTTTACAAAAAATATTAGTTTTCAGATCTATAACCAATAACATATATTTTAAATTATAATCAGCAAAGATTAAAAAAATTTAAGGAAGAAAAATTTAATTTAATTACAAATAACACAAAAAAAAAAAAAAATCAATAATGAATCACAACATTTTTTTATTTCATATTAACAAAGTAAAAATATGTAAATTATTTATAATAACTTAGTTCTAACTTAAATTATAACAAATAAACTAGATTTTGGGATCATGTGCATATAAAATTAGATGACAGTGATTAATTTAAAAATAACAATTTGTTTACAAAATGATAATAAAATCCAGTATTTTTCAGAATGAATATTTTTAATAAATAAAATTGCATGTTTTAATTTTAGGAATGATTTGAGCAATTGTAAAAACAAGTCAAAATTATTAAGGTCTTAAAAAAATTTGGATTTAAAAATCAAGTGTTTTGTTTGTATTAATAAAAGAATATAACTTAATTTTTAATAATGAACTTATCAAAATATTTTACAATGAACAAGTAAAAGTAAAATATAAAATTGATTATTTTATCCACAGGCTCCATAATAATTGTGTTGGTTTCTAATAATGAGTATTGTTATTGTAGTTCTTAAGTTATTTATGAAATAATATATTTTTAAATAAAAATTGAAGTAAGAATTAATAACTTTCAAATTATTTTATTTACAAAGTAAATATACTAAATCCTGATTTAAATATAATCTAAGCCATATCTCTTCAATACAAAAAAGTATCATTATTATTTTTAAGACTCCATGTGTTTCATATTACATAGTATATAGTGAACAACATAAAAAAGTAAATTACTATTATTATTAATGACAAAAAAAAAAAAAAAGAGATGCCACAGAAATTACTATTTTTTTTATATTTAATTTTAATAAAATTTGTACTATTGCTCAAATTCTTTTCATGTGGAACAATATTTAAATAATATATTTATACTTTAACTATCACATTAGACAACAATATCATAATTTCTATCTATAACATACTGTTAAAAAAGTAATGTTTCTTTTAAAATTAAAAGAAAAAAAACAAGTAAAAAATGAAAAAAGAAATGGAAGGTACCTTACTTAATATATAACTCTAGCCGCCTTCTGATTCTTGAGATGAATCATGTTTATCATTTAATTGAATACGTAATTCAGCTAAAGCATGACCTTTATAAAGTCTTTTAATGCCTCTTGGTAGTCCTCGACATGACGCTAAATTTAATGAATTTAGCAAAGGACAACTATTAAGAATTGCTTTAACTGGTTCTAAGCTTATTGACGAACCAGTGAGATCCATTTTCCTAAATAAAATATAATTTCATTCTTTAGTAAAATTAAAATTATAAGAAAAAAATACCTGAGCAAAGAACTTTTTCCTTGTTCTGCTAATGCCATGACAGCTGCATCTAGAGTGGTGGTGTTAGTAGACCAAGAAAGATCTATCTCCATAAGACTGTGACTCCACTTTTTGCATATCAAATCAAGACCAGAATCATTTATTCGTGTCACACAACAACCTAAAAGAAAATATGTAAATTTTGTAAATATTTTCAATGTTTAAAATATTTGGTAAAAATTAATTGCCTGATAAGTAAAGGTGAGTTAAATCCCAAGCTGGTACTCTAACTAAGTACTCAGTAACTCTAGAACATCCTCTGACATCAAGAAGGCATAATTTATGGGAAGTTTTTAATATTCTTTCAAGAGCATGATCATCAATAAATGGTTGCCCAGAGGCATTTAAATCATTTGAAATTGTAGCTACACTAAGTTCTTCCAATAATGGAAAACCAGATGATAACCCTTGTTCTTTTAAAGATGTAGCACTAAGGCATAGTTGACTAGTAGCCATTCGCAATACACGCAGCTTAGGACAACCTTCTTGCAATTGTTCAATATGAAGATGACCCGTATTTCCAACCATTCGTACATTAGTAAGGTCCAGAGATTGAAGATTTGGACAATATGTCTACATTTTAAAACACATTTGATTAAAAATAGTGAAAGCAACTAAGTAATTGACAAAAATTATATATACTCAGTACTTAAATTTAAAGGGATATATTAATAAAAATTAATTATTTAAAATTTTTTATATTATCATAAAATAAATAATTTCTTTGAAAATTTCAAGAAAATATTATTTTAGTACTGTTGATACAGCTTTTTAAAGTATGTTAAGATATGATTATGTTTTTCATTATTGTTCTACATTAAAATTATCTTTGCTTAAATAAACATTATCATATATCTACATATTTTTTCGCGTATGAATTAATAATATTCAATTTATTAGTACTATTTGTGTCTATTTTTATTTTATATTATTTCTATTATTATTTTATTTTATTTATTTTAATTTGTCAACATTTTTATATTTTAACATAAAAAATTGAATGTCTTAATTTTTTAATTGTACTATTTGTTAGAAAAAATTTACAAGACGATAACTATATAATATTTTAATAAAAAATTTACTGTAGACATCATAACTATGAAGAAAGCAAAAGATTTAGAACAATTACATTAGCCAAAGATTAACTTGTTATAACAAGTTAATAATCATGGATAAAGAATAAAAAGAACACTTGTTTCTACATCTACAAAAACATGGAAATTTTGTCAGATTTATAAAAATTTGCATATTTTGTCATATTGGTATTTGCATAATTTTCTCTAAAATTAATGGTTTTATAAGATAAGATCCTAATACTAATTTTATACAAAATATTTAGATCTATGATTTATACATTTATTTTTATTAGGTGTTTGTTTATGAATAAAAAAAAAAAAAAAGGAACCCAACTGTCCAACTTTCAACCAAAAATTGGCAGTCTTGTCTTGAAATGTTTAATGGTTTCTTTGTACATATATATACATAACTTTGGGAGTGTCATCTAAGAATTTCTTTAAAAAATAACCTTCAACTATAACTTAGTATAATATTAGCATAATGTATTTGTCTAATAATAGGGAATTAAATGGAGTTTAAATATTTGATTCAATGTGGAAAATCAAGAGGTACTTGAGTATACACATAATAATTGATGATATTTAAACTTAAGATTTTTGGTTAAGTTTGAAAATCAAACTGATATGATCAAATACCATACTGAATTTATTGAATAATGATAAAAAAAAAAAATTTTGTCTAGAAACTATTAAAATTTTGATGTTTGCTACGGGTTCAATTTTAAAATAGAAATTTTGGTCCATATGGTTTGACCCCAAAAATTAGGGTTTGTAACATTACTAATATTAATATAAAATATAAATAATTATAATTAATATAAACTTACAGCTAGTGAATTAACAATTTGTCCGATCCCTGAAAGTCTATTATCTGCTAAATTTAAATGTGTTAACCTTGAACCCATGTATTGTGTCAAGAACAATAAGGAGTTTAAACATACTCCACTTTTACCACAGCTATGTTGAGCCTAAAATTAAGTTTATTAATTTAAAAAGGTTTTATTTTTTAATAAGTCATGATAACTACTAGGACTTTATAGATCTTGAAAGTGTAACAAATAAATCATGAAAAAAGACATAGTGCAGAATAAGAAACCTAAGATTTGAATTATTTGTTTTTGGAAACAATAAATTGATAAACAGGCTATGATACACTTTCAATAAGGATAGTAGAATTGAAGAAAAAAATACTGTACAAATAAATGGAAAACTTGCATTTATTCCAGATAAATCTATCCGTTCGAGGTTATGAAAATTTGTGACAAGAAAACGAACATTATCCATAGTTAATCCTTCCCAACCAGTTAAACTCAAACTTTTAAGTTTCAAACAAGAAGTACTTATTTTATCCAAAATAACAGGAATGCCAGTAAATTGCCAACCACCTAAAAAATATAATAATTATAAAAATAATACTTAAATTTTTTTTTTTTTTTTAATTACCTAAGTTAAGTTCTTCAACATTTGCTAGCCGATTTTCACACAGCCACCTAAAATTAATATCATTTCTAATAGGATTTTTTGAAATCCAACGTCCAGCTAAGTCAATATTAGTCCAAAGTAATGGGTCAGAAGCTACAGCACGCCATTGTTTACATACCCGAGATACCCTGCAATTAAAAAATAAAATATTAAAAATAAGTCTAACAAACAAACAAACTATTAATTTAATTGTTTGATTATTAATGCCTATACAGAGTTAAATTTTAATATTATTTCTAAAAATTATAATAATATACACAGTGTAACAGATCTAACTGGCAACTATTATAACTTTTGATCCAATAATCATAACTTTATAATTTTTATTTATTTTTTTGCATTTATAGACTATGTTAAACCATATTTTTCATTTTTTTTTTTTTAAAACAAAAATATTAAAAATGATTTTTTATAGTTTTAAAATAGATAGTTTTTTTAGCATTTCTCATGAAAAAATTTAATGAGTCAATAACAATACTAAAGCAAAACTTATTTAGTTACAATCATTATAATACACAGAATAGGTATATATAAAATACTTGTAACTCAACAATTACTTGCGCAAAATTATTGTGGACTCTTAATCACTTTTGTAAGAAGTGCCAAAATTTGGCTATTAAAAAAAAGTTTTTATTATTATTACTAAAAAGAAATAATAATAAGTATTAATTTAATATAGTTTAAGAATGCCAGAGATTGTTAAAAAATAATAATAATTGCAGCAAAATGTTCATTCTATCAAAAGTTATAGAAGTTGGGTCTTTACTGCCTATGTGAGTTTTACTCCAAAGAGATTCACCTAAAACCGTGATCAGCGTTAGCACTAGGTGCTATTTGCCGGGCACAAAGGATCAGTGAGCGAGGGGCGACAAGTCGGTCCACAGTCACCGTATGTTCAAAGGAAACACCAGAGCCTGACAACTAAGTTATCCATACCATTTGCCTCTGGTTTACACCAAGTGTAAGTTTTAGTTCTATATGAATCTGTAAACCTATTATATTATAATATGTATATTAGGGTGGTCTTTTGAAATTAGACATTCTCACCGCCAAAATTATTTATGTATAAATTCTAAAAACTTTGAGTTCTAAGGAATTTGGTGAAAATTATTCAACATTAACTCATGTCACAAGAGGGTTGAATATTGAACTTAGTAGGTAGTTGTATAGTTTTGTGACAATTACTTAAGTATGACACTAATCATAAATATAACAAAATTAATGATTATCTAAATTCTATTATTTAAAAAGCTGCTACATGGAAATTTTGTAGTAATTTATGGTATCTTTTATCAGATAATGTCGCATTGTCTTTTTATGATGACTGAATTTTATCGGATTAAAAATTAAAATGTCCTTAAAAATGAAGAAATTACAAGGCACAAGTGATTTAAATCAAAATATAAAAAAAATTATTGTTTTACAAGACAAAATATTAATAAAAAAAAAACAGATATTGCATTTTTGGAATCACTTAACTTATTTTTTAGATTTCAAATAAAAAATGTTTTTCAAGAGACAGAAAAAATATTTTATCAAACTGATTAGTTATTAATGATGTTGCTGAATGTAGAATAAAACTCATTTAACACTATAACAATATATTGACAAAGAATGATAGCTAGAAACACTTTTGGTTATAGGGTTGTCTGTGATTGTAGATTTAAAAAAAAAAGCACATAAATGAATAAATAAATATTTTAGTAAATAGTATACAATAAAAAATATTAAGTATAATTTTTTATTTAGAAATAAATTAATGAGCCATAAAATATAATCTAATATAATAAAATATAATCTACAAAAAATTAAAAAACTAATTCCTTAGAGTTCAATATTCAACCTCTTATGTTAAGGTTAAATAATCTTAAAAAAGTTCTTTAAAACTCATTTTTGTTTATAGTTAAATAATTTTGGAGCTGATAAGGTTGAATAAAAAAAATGTATTTTATAATATAAACCTAATGTATATTATTTTTGTTTTAAAAAAATAAAGATCTATATAATACAATCGAGTTATAAGAATTTAAATATTTACCATAAAATATATAAAAGTAAAAATTTTATAATCTAATAAGATTCTACTTTAAAATTTTAGACTATTTAAGAATTGAAAATTCATAGAAAAACATATTGATTACACATGGCTACTATTATTTAGACCCATACTGTCAATATGTATTTAATGCTTATTATAATAACTTACTTCTCATAAAGACATAAGTATTATCTTTTACAAAATGTATTTTTGTGGCTATTAGAGTTTAATCCTTTTTGATATTTTTTATTTTGAAATTTTTTTCTAATTTTAAATGAAAATTCAAAGATTGCAATAAAATAGTTAAGAATTAAATACTAATAATCTAATTAAAAGTATACATGATAAATTATTATTACTATATTACAATATATTTATTTTTAAATTAAATTTTACCTGGCAAGAAATGGAATGCATCCTTCAGTCGAAGTTACCAGTTGAAATACTTTATACAGAATTTCATTAGGCAACTGATCACCCCAAGGACTTTGTGTAATTGGTTCATCTGGGTGCATACTTTTGTTTTCATCAGATTTTTTTCTGCTTTTTCTTTTTTTCTTTTGTGGCATTGATGTTAAAGATATTTTTAATTTTATACCACCATTTTCAGCTGGAGCTATCTCACTATGGTAAATTGTGCCAGCAGGCTGTTTTTTGGGCTTTAAAATTTTTTCTTTGGGGGCTGACCTTCTTTTACGTGGTTTTCCTGATTTAGTAAGTGTTACACCATTAGGAATAACAATTGGAAGTTTAGATGTAGGTGCTACAGGCGAAACAGTAGTAGCCCTTGTAGACTCACCATTAATAACAGGGGAAATAACTTGAGGTTGAATTATTAAGGATTCTAAATCAACTCTTGGTGAATAAAGATCACTAGACAAACTTTCTATTGATCGAGGATTTGTTTCAATTGATCGTTCACTACCTGTTCTTTGAGTAGTAGCAGGACTTATAACACTATCACTTAAGCTAGAACTTTCTCCATTGCACATTGGCGATGCAGCTAATACTCCTGCACTTGGACTGTCAGAAATACTAACAGGAGTAGGAAAACTAGCAATAGTCGGAGAAATTCCTGGAGAATACTGATCATTTCTCACTTGTCTATTAGTGAAATCTAACATAGTTGATGGCCCTGTAGTAGCTGTAGATGTAAAAAGATTTTCTACTTGATTTGGTAGAGGGCAAGGATCAAATCCAGGTAGTTGAAGGGATGATGAACTAGAAGTATCCATCTGATTAAAATTTGAGCCTAATGTTTGAGGGTTATAATTGAAAGCCATAGGAGAAGGATTAGGCGTTAAGACAGTATATCCACCATAAGAGTCTCCCATAAAAGTTGAGTTCTCATTGCTATAATTTTGGCCATGTAATTGACTTGATTCTAGGCGATTACGAAATGAATCTTGCATCATATTATTATTGGGATGCAACATATTATATGACAGGGAATCATACCTAGATTGATGCAATGGTGGATGAGATACACTCTTATCTTGATCCAATAAAAACTGTTTAAGACACTCATGATCTTGGTCTATTTCTAAATGAGAAAATGACGGATCAAAACAATTATTAATATTGTCCATGTTAATTATATAAGCAACTGCTATATGATTTTAAAGCTATCCATTTACATATAGTACTATAGGATGTAAATCTTGGACTTCTTTTTGTTCCATTAAGCTAAGAAACATTCAGATGCTGAACCAATAAACTATCTCTAGTCTAAGACTATTTCTGAAAAAAAAAAATAAAAATATTATGTGCTAGTTGATTGGTTTTAACAAAAAAATTCTATCTCCTAATCCCCTTACATGTGACCTATACTGAGAAAATATGTATTGCCTACAAGCCTATATTTCAGTGGATAGAAAGACAGTTATACAGGATGATACTTTAGTTTATAAGGATATTGATCAATATCATTATACACAACATATAATTATTAATATCACTAGTAAAAGAGAATAATCTCTACACAGACGGAAGTAAAAAATAAATAGATAACTAATTATTCAAGATAACAATCAATTAAGCATATAGATATACAAAAAGAGCTATATACTCGAATAAGAATATATACGAGCTTCATTAACAAGATAAATATTCATTTCATACTATATAAATTAATATTTCATTATTTGTTGTAATTCTAGATATCAAACATAATATTAAAAACAATAAAAGTTTAATTGCTTCACAATTTTTGACAAGTTGCGCCAAACTAAATAATTTTCAAATTTGTAACAAAAAAATAGCAGTCCACCTACACGTTATCAAGAAGTGTTATCACGTCAAAAGGTAATAATTAAGTGTAAATAGGACAAGCAGAATGATAGCTTAGTGTGCTGTCTCGCTAACTCGCTGACCAAGTCTGGTTAACAACAGGGAACGCGAGGAAATTGGAACATCCATCTAGAGCTTATCCGACAATTTTAAGTTATCCCTTTAACTGAAAATTATGGATACGACGGACGCGGTGGCGCCTAGTCTATACCCCACCTAACGTTAGGAATAAAAGTTAGCCATCAAGCGAAACCATAATTTGCAATATTTAAAACACAAGAGACATGTATACAACAATCTTGAACTTACCGTGGTCCGGAACGGAGGACGAAAGCGATCGTGATTAATGGAACCTGAGAACAAGGTCCCGGAGATGGCGGCGGTGTAGACCGCTGCTGTTGTGTATTGATCTAACACGGCGCGACGGCGGTGCACAATGCAACAGCGATTTTGTAGCGCGCAAATAACGCTGATGAACGATGGCTGACGGAAACGGTCGTCATCGGCGGTTTAGCAAGTACTCAAAGGCGACAGACACCACAGGAGCAACAATTATCACGAAAGTACACCAGAACACACATCTACTACTGCGGACGTACATCCACTGACCTTCGACCGACGGTAGTGAGAAACAAACTAATGGGCTATTGTCAAAATGAAACACTCATATGATTGGCTTAAAAATAAACTTTCCATCACAGTGCCGCCAACCCGAAAATTTTCGGTACCCGTACCATTTGAGCTCATATTGTGTACACTTGGCTACATTGGCAGTGTCTATACCTACGACAAGTAAGCAGCATCAAACCCGCTACTGGAGCCTGCCGGGAACATAACAGCTGTTCACATCACAAGTACGAGAACCCGCATTATTACCCGCCCATCAGCACCAACCTACTACCGCTCTGACGACCGCCGGAAATTTTGTAGGTCAGATAACTTTTTCGATATTTCTATTCAAGTTTGAATAGTTTGTAATCTTAAATTTCTTTAAATTGCTTTAAATGTTCTGTTTGGTAACTATTATGGAAAATAAAGCCGTTTACTTTTATCAAGAGTAACACAGCGCTATCTACTATTAATTAAAAACAACTAAAAGTTATAAGTTGGCGCAGCCTGTTACTTGCATACAAAGGCGGCACCGCAATTTGAAGACGATGACCCGCGACGAGTATGGAATTTTGGTGGAATTTTTTTCCAGACTTGCCAAGACCTTGAATTTTAGACTCGTTTCAACCCTGAAATGCTACGTAGGACGTGCCTCCCCCCACACAGATTAAAAAAAATTTGTACACAAATGCGCGTAATTGTCATAAGATACTTTATTTCAATTTCTATGTGTATAATTCATACAAAAATCTTGTAGATAACTTTTATTTTACTTACTTTAAATGTGCTGGTTTTTCTTTTACCTTTGATGACGTTAGTACTTTTTAATTTCAATATTATAATCATAAGATTCAATTGTACTTAATTCTCATGCAATAATAGATAAAATTTATTACAATTAACAAATAAAGTTTTTTACAATTTTTATACCAAAAAATATAAAGTAAGATAAATGCTGTTATATCAGTACTCAGGAATTTTAACTAGTTTACTTAGTTTTGCAGAAATCTGTTTATTGAATTTAAAAAACTATGTAGTTTGCAACTAACTTCTTATTTCCCATCAAATATTCACACAAGTGTACCGACAGCAAATAACTATAGCCGCAAAAAAAATCTTATAAAATAAACACCTTCATCTGTTGTTGTTTACACGTGCACGTTTTACCATGTTGTTTTGTAAATTAACATCGAGCTAGATAGTAAATATTTTTAACTTCTTAATTTTTTTATGTTAGTATGTAGAACTTTAGTACTTAAAAGCCAATTGTATTTATCGAATGTAGATGAAAAATTTTAGGCGTTGATGATAACATTGATTATGATTTATATATATATATATTACCTTGCGGAAAGGGTTTAAGAATACTTCCATGGCCCCTCTGCAAGCCGTAAGAGGCGACTAATGAGGTTACGTCAGGTCAACAGACGTTGTAAAATTTTGTCAAAAAGTATGAGGAGTCCTGAACAGAATTTAAGCGAATTGTCCAATCTCGGATGTACATCTAAAGAATAAAATGTTCGATACCAGTTGGACAATTTGTGTAATAGCTGTTTCATCAGTCATGTGTATAGAGTTGCCCAAGGCTTGTAGTGTCAATATTGTAGGGATATTATCACTCAAATCTAGACTGAACTCGTGTATTAGGGAGAATGATAGATATAAAGTATAAATAGGTACGAATTATGTTGGAAAATGAACTGTTTAAATATAGAGAATTAGTAGAAGTATTGAAGAGAAAAAAAATTAATATTTGATGTGTGCAAGAAACTAAGTAGAAGGGGGAGAAAGTAAAAGAAATAGGTGAGGGTCATAAAATAATATACTTAAGTAAGATCAATACAAAGAATGGTGTAGGGATATTAATGAATGGAAGTAATAGAAGGAGTTAGGAAAAGTGACATAATTATAGTCGTAAAATTAATTTTAGAAGAAAAAGTGTTGAATGTAGTAAGTGTCTATGCACCACAAGTAGGATGTGATGAAATGTTCTGTAAAGAGATAGATGAGGTGATACAAGGAATACCTGGTAAAGAGGATGAGGTGATAGGTGGAGATATGAATGGACATGTCAGTAATGAGAAAAGAGAATATGAAAGAGTACATGGAGAGTATGGTTTTAGTGGATAAAATGAGGCTGGAAAAGAATCCTCGATTTCGCAGTATCGTATGCTCTTGTTGTGGTTAATACTTCTTTTAGAAAGAGGGAAGAACATTATATAACATATAAGAGTGGAAGTAATTGATCACAGATTGATTATTTTGTGTGCAAAAGAGAGAGTTTAAAGCGAGTAAAAGATTGTAAAGTTATTCAAGGCAAAAGTGTAACTACATAACATACACTGATGATAATGAAGTTGTGGTGTAATGGGAAGAGAGTATACAAAAAAAGAAAAAACACAGGAGGAGGAATCGATGTTCTGGTGGTGGAAAAAGAAAATGGTTAGGAATGTCAAGGGAAACATAAATAATGTATGGAACAGATTTGCTAGTAGAATAAAGAATACTGCAAAGGAGGTGTTGGTGAGAGTAGGAATAGAATACCAGAAAACAAGGAAACTTGATAGTGGGATGAGAACGTTTAAAAAATCATAGAAAGTAAGAAAAGCAGTTCAAAGTATGACACAAGAGAAAAAAGACAGAAGATTGGATGGAGTATAACGCTTGTGCAAAAATGATGAGTTGTATTATAGACTAGGAACAAAGGTTGGTGAAAAAGAAGTCTATAGACTTGCAAAAGAAATGAAATAGGTATAAAGATTATCACTATGTAAGAGGTATAAAAGTGTTGATAAGTAAAGTGTTATTAAGTGAGTGCTGTCAAATGATGATGATGATGTGAAAAAAAAGTTGAAAGAGTATTTTGAAAATTTTCTGAATTAGAAGTATATAAAAGAGATATTAGAGGATATCTCGTGGAACGAGAGACTGATTTAATTTATGAGAAAGAGGTATAAGACTGTGGCATCAATGAGAATGAATAAAGCAGTAGTATCAGATGAAATGTTAGTAGAAGTATAGAAAATATTAAGTGTTGGCATAAGGTGGTTGAAGGATCTTTTTAATAAATTCCTATTAGAAGGGAAAATGCCAAATGGAGAAATAGTTTTGTGGTGCTGATATTTAGCATTGTAGTATTAAGATTTGGAAAAAATAATGGCAAAGGAATAACAGAAGGAATATTAGTAATAAAAAACCAGTTTGGTTTTTTGTCTGGAAAGTCAATGATAGAGCCAGTTTTTTGTAAAAAACAACTGATAGAAAATTATAGGGAAAATAAGATAAAGCTGTGTATGGTATTAATAGATTAAGAGAAATTGCATAATAAAGTACCGAGAGAGGTTTTAATGTGGGTATTAATAAGAAAAGGAGTTCAAAAAAGTACATCAATATTATTTATTTATTTATTTAGTTTAAGGGATATATCCATTTTTTTACAAGCATGCTATGTTTACATATTTAATTTTAACTAAATTAAAAGAAAGACACAAAAACAAACAAAAAATACATAAAAAAAAAACAAATAACAAAAGACAAAATCAAAAATGTTTACAACTAATAAATCGACATATGAATAAGAGATTATAAAACAATACAAATATTATTATAATATAAAACTAGGATCTGCATTAGCACTTCTAGAAACCGGCGGAGGGGTTTGTTCATTAGGTAGTTCGTGGGGGCAACGTGACTAGGAAAGGCGCATTCGACCTAGTATTAATCTGTGGAACCCTAAAAGGGATCAGAGATAATAGCGTAGGACATTCTATCTTCCCATCAAGCAAACCCCCGAGAAACCTAGAGCCCGCAATACTACGCCTCGATGACAGTGTGGAAAGGCCTAAATTATTTGCCACGGGGCTATAATCATATGGTGGACATGGTAAACCAGCGCCTGCCCAGCAAAACATAGAAATTTATTCTGAACCCTTTCTAACTGGCGACAGTTGTCTGCCGTGTGGGGGTCCCATACCACACTGCCATACTCTAATATAGGGCGAACCAGTGCGCAAAACAAAATTTTTAATGTCTTTTCAAGCTTGAACTCTCTGGTTAATAAGTGGTGTACTTATGTAGTGTCAATCGTGGATAAGATAAGAGGAAATAGACTTAGATGGTTTTGTCACGTTATGAAGATAGAGGTTTTACTTATGAAAATTGGGAAATAAATGTTAGTAATTGAGTATTAATTGTACTAAAAATTATATACATATTTATATTTTCTTTATTTTAGATAAAGCCTCTATCACCATAATAGATGTATGGTTCAGTGTTGGGTGATTGACAAGAGAATAGAACTGAGATGAGAATGTTTAGATAGATTGAGTGGATTGACTAAACAAATCTAGCTTTATAAGGATAAGCTAATGTGTGTATTGCAACTTGTTACAAAAATGCCATTTCAACAAAAATTTCGGTGGGGCTTTTCTAAATCGTCCTACCTAAATAGTATTTATTTATTGTTAACATAACAATATACAGTTCTTACAATATTGGATGAGCTAAGCTCTACTACCTGAGGGGCGATGGCGATTTGCTAATATATTGCTATTGAAATACTATAATAATATTCAAAACAGTTTTTATGAATGATGTATACAGAAATAACAAAATTAAGATATTGTTTTAGCTTATTTATTTAGAAATTAACTCAAATACACAATTAGAAGGTTATAGGGCCTTATCTCTAAAAGTTAGAAAATTATTTAATTTTTTTTAAAATTATTTTTAGGATTATAGAAATATAATTTAGCTCCCTAAAAATGTTAAATGGTCATAGACATAAATAATAAGGAGAATATCTTAAGAGTAATAAGTCTTTATTTTTACTTTTTGACAAAAGCAGTCTATTTATTAGCTAAAATCTGAAAAACTATTTTAATGTGTATAAATTTATTTTTAATAAATTATACATCAGACAACAAAATCTTAAATATGCCTTTGTCAATAAATTTTTTTTTAAAATATTTTAGTTTGCAAGGAAAATAGAATTTTTATGGCAAACATGTTAACATAAATAATAAAACTTTTTCATTAACAACAAATAATAATTTAATTGATCATTATGTGACAATGCTTAAATTTAAACTTATATGTATGGAATTGACTTAATTATATTATCAAACACTAAATAAAAGTATAAAAGAAAAATAATGACAATAAATTACAAAAATATAAATGAAAAACAGATTATATAATCAGATATATAATAATTAATCATTAGAGGAAGATACAAATTTTAGTTATTTTGTAATAATTACAAAAGTTACATTCTGATTTGAAATTTACCAGCTTTAGTTATATATTTTACACCTTTGAATGGTTTATATTTTTCTCCATACATATCAAGACGATTTACTTTTAACCCAGACAGTGCTAACTGATTTATAGTAAATTTTACCTAAAATAATAAAAAAAAAATTAAAAATTGTACGGTTTGATTTTATATGCTGTTCTTACATTGATAACAGGATTTGAATCTGTCACTACAGTATTTACTGGTACACTAATCTAAAAAAAATAAATATATGTGATATAATTTATTATTAATAATGAATATCTTATTTGTAGCCTTAAAATATTTTTAATGGAATAAACATTAACAACTGTTTTTCCAATAAGAGATTATATTTAATTGAAATGAAGTGGGATAAATGCAAATAAATAGTATAATTATAAATAAAATTTAATATATACCTAAAAATTATAATTTTCCAATCTCAAATAATAAATACTGAATATTCTATGAGAAATAAAGAGTTTTCAATTACTCCATAATTGTAATTTTTACCTTAATTAATCTTACAAAAAAGAATATTTTATTTAGTTGATCTTTTTGTTAACGGCTTAAAAGATTTAAAAAACACTTTATCTATTTTTACAAAAAATAAAATTATTAATGAAATAGGTATTAAACAGAATGTTAATTAAATAAATTTATTAAAATAAATTATTGTTAAACATATTGCATTTTTTATAATTATTGTTGAATGTGTACTGCATATGTTAAACTTGATTAATGTGACAGAAAATATCAAATGTTATGGAAGAAACACTTGAAACTAATTTTGAAAAAAATATGTGTACAATATTTGTATAATAAAAATAATTATAATTTTTCTGAAATTTCAATGAAAACACTCCCATGCATGATCATATTTGAAACTATATGTTAAATACAATAACTATGTATCCCGCTTCATTGATTAATATAAACTGCCTAATTTATTTAAGAACATATTTTTTATTTATAATACTTACAGTTCCTCTGATGTTTGGTAATTTTGTTGTTTCTATTCTACCAACTTCCCAAGTTAAAATTTTAGAAACAGGATCAAATGAATGTTTACCTTGATTTGGTATAAGAGTACAATTTAATACACTCTTTGGCATTGGTACTTCAATAATTACATTTTCAATCTGAATGATAAATTATTAAGTATTAAATAATACATATATAAAAATCATACAATTGAATAAATACATACAGTTCTTCCTAAAGTCTGTTTTGGTCCAACAGTTATATCTAAACGTCCACTGCCTGATGCGGTTTCTTTCAATGAAAGCATATGTTTTACATAAATAGGAATAGCAACTATTCCTTGTGATCCAACATGATATGACATAAGTCGAAAATTTCCATCAGGTGGTATGAAAGACAATAATCGTTCTGACTAAATTATAACATATGAGTCATCCAGTAGCAAAGGACAAATGTCAAAAAAAAAAAAGATTATGATTTACATTGATACATGATTGATTAAACTTTTATGAATATAAATATTAGGTTTTATAATTAATTATTTCCTATATAGTTTACGATACAAAAATATAGCATTATTTCAAAATGAGATATGTCCATGAGAAAGTTAAGTAGCAAAAGGTAGTATGCCCTCACATACTAAAAAAGTTTTAAAATGGCATAAATCATAATATAATTATATTACAATGGTGTCAGTGTTAAAAACTGTCATATATAGTAGAGTAGTAAGTTTATTTTGCAGAATTTTTAGTATGAAATTTTCAGTATTTAATCTAGTTTGAATAAAACTGTATATATGAGTTCTATAGTGTTCAAAAAGTAAGAAAACAAGTCAGTTGTTACAATGAGAACAATAGAAACAGTTTCCTTACTTACTAAACACCCTACAAAATATATAGTACAAAATGAAAATGATGGCAAGATTACATTTACATTAGATAGTTGAAACAACTTAGTGTTACCTAAAGTGCCGTATCAAAATGCCTATCATTCCAGACAAATTTACGTATATAACTTCACAGTTACAAGGATCATCAAAATTAAAACAAATTAATGAAAATACACACACACATATACAGGGTGATTGATTAACTATGCCTCACAAATTATTTCTGAAAATATAAGAGTTATTCTTTTGTTTTCTTTATGAAATATTATGTTTCTATCTTGGGTTGCTCAGTGAGTAAAATTACATTTTTATGATCATCCCTTATGCTTTAAATTAGTATCAACTTTCAATTTTCAAATGGTAACCCTTTTTTTTTTATTTTATTAAATTAACAGCAAGCTATGATTCATTAAAGTTTAGGAGACGTGAGTAATACTCACTTTGATTTATAAAAGATGCGCAAATTTTACGTCGCGGTACAATACATTGATAGTTCTTATCTGTACATTAAATATTAATGTTACTGTATTTACCCGACTGTTGTTTTATTTTTTAAATCCCACAAACTTTAAATAGTAATATCTCGTTTAAAATTTATTAAAATTGATCTTTTTTTTATGCTTAACAAGATAAAAAAAAAAAAAAACTGGGTTTCTATTTGTAAAACTAGAGTTGATATTGATTTGAGGGTTAAGGGATGAAGATGGAATCTTTATTTTTTTTGTCAAGTAGCTCAACAAAGATTTATAACAAATAAAATAATTACATATATGATAACATTAATATTTTTAAAGAAAATTTGTGAGGAATAGTTAGTCAATCACTCTATATATATAGAAACAGAATAGAAAAAAAAAAATAAAATTATATCATTCATTTATTATCATTTGAAGAATAGTGATTTAACAAATATTTATACCATTCAAATTATTTTTTAGATGAATGCGGGCAAAACAAAAATTAGGTTATGTTGTCTCAAAAGATTGAAACTACCTGCAAATTGGGATTAGAAATTTGCACTTTTATTTATGTAGTAATATTAAGAACACATAGAAAAACAATTTAGTCAGAGGGGAGTCAAATTACTATTCAAATATAGGTCAGGAAAAAGAACTTTGTTAAGGTGGTAAAGTATATCCTTAATGAAATTTAAGGTTTTAAGTGATAATGTTAAGTGAACACTGCAATAAAGATTGAGATATATAATTTATTAAATAAACATTTTGGAAATGATAAGAGAAATTTATCAGATCTCAAATACTATAAAAGTGTACTGACTGAAAATGATGGATGTAATGAGCAAAATGATGAATCAAAATTTGGAGATATTAATGAAGATGAAAAAGAATTTGTTCGAAAAAATATGATCTTAATGAATAATATAGTAAAAATTGTTAGAATTACAGTTTAAGGAAATCATTTTTGTAAAGGTTTTTCTTGCTTGAAGTGCTTAAGGATGTATCCATATTTACAGTTGAGTTCTAACGTTTTGGATTCAACTGTAAACATGGATACATCCTTAAGAATTTCAAGCAACAAGAAAATCCATGAAAGCTTTAACACATTCATAAGGGTTTTCTTGTGACTAATTAATTTGTTGAAAAATTATATTAATTTTATTCAACTCTGTTATATTTAAAATAAAAATTATGTTTTAGTAAGCATTTTTTTTATAAAATTATTTTCAATTTTAATCACACATAAATTATAAACTAAGTTTGAAATTTAAGATTTACGCTTAAAAAAATTGTTATTTTCACATTTAAATAGCAAAAATGAGTATCCAACTAAAAATAAGAATTAAAAATTATATATTAACCTATTATCTATGTATAAACGAAAAAATCTAAATCATTAAATAAATATCAGTTTTTTACTGCTTGTTTAAAATTTGTTTATTTGAACATACATCCTTTTGCAACTTTAACTTATAAAAAAAAATTACTTACCTCCCATCTTTTAAATCTAACACAGGGATGGAAGCTGACATCATCAAATAGTCGTGGATTCATAAATGATAGTGAAAGATCTGGCATACCTGTTAGTTTAATACTACAATCAATCTAAAACCACATAAAAATATAAATATATAATGAAAAATAAATATTTGAAAATATTCTAATTGTATCTCAGTTCAAGAAATCATGCTTACAAAATGAAAGTAAAATCAAACTTACATATCCTTGTATTTCAGCAAAAACTGTAGCACCTCCCTTATCAATTATAGCATCTACTTCTTCAATAACATCAAAATATGCTTCATTATTTGTATACTTAACACCAGAACGTCTCCAAGGTACATTAGACAATTGACCACTTGGTAATGTTGCACTTACACTAAAATATTTTAAATAAAGTGTAAATATGAACGTATTAAAGCTTTCATGAAAATTATAGTAAATACTTATTCATATTTAAAATAATATTTTCATTACAAAGAAATTGTTTTAATAAAATTTACATACCAATTTTTAACTTCAAAACTACAAAATTACATATACAATTTATTTATTAATTAACAACTTTAAAGAAATTAAAACCAAAAAAAATATACATATACATAGTGATTGCTTTATTATAAACCACTCGATTACTTGCAAAGAAAAATACAATATTTTTTTAGTTACATATATTTCTTGATTTATCAGCTATTTAATACTTTTTAGAATCATCCCTATAACATTTAGAGTATCAATTTTATTTTTTTTAATGAAAAAATACAAATTTTATTATCTTATAATCAGTTATATATGCAGTTGTTACTATATTTATCATTTAGCATTTCTCGCTTCCTCTGCCTAAGTGTTAAAATGAAAATAACTTCTGAAGTACAAGCCCAAAAGTTACTATCGACAAGTCAATTTTTATTTTATAAGCTAATTTAATATGTATGTTGTAATAAAAAAAAGAAAGTTTAAACCCTTAAAAAATTATAAGAGACGATTCTAAAAAGTGTTAATACCTGATAAATGAATAAATATATATAATTAAAAAAAAAAAAGAACAATTATTTTTTATTCAATATTTAATTTATTTTAACATATGGTACAAACTTAAGAAAAACTAAAAATTAAATTATTTATAGTGTTTGCATTTTCAATAGTATTAAAAGAGAAAAATTGTTTGCAACATAAATATTGTAGATATTTTGGGAGAAATCCAGTTTATGATAAACCAATTACCTTGTATAGGTAACAATAAAATTTTTATTTAATAATAAAATTTTCAGGATTATGATAAGTGCATAAATGAAATGAATAATTTTTTTAAATTAATTTAGATCTATTTAAAAAAAACCTAGCACAGATAGGACGTGGCATAGTTGGGACAAGTATAGATGATATCTGACAGTGAATAAAATTACTATCATAAGAAACGCTATGATACAAATCTGTAGATAGTGTTTAATTTTAAGAAATTGGTAGATATTTTTAAAAGCAACAATAACTCTTATTTCCTTAATTTTATTCCGATTAGTTATTTGATTTATAATTATAATATATTAACAAATAATAATTATAGTAATTAAATTTAGTATGAAATTAATATTCAATAATTTAATATTGTAATTTTTACGGAGATATTATAAAAATATAATAAAGTAGTTGTATATTTCTTTACTTTGAAAAATATTAAAAAATATTACTTTTACGTATAAAAATTTAAACTTTTAGACTTTAAAATTTAGACTTTTTCTATCACTTCTAAGTTTTAATATTATTACTTATTATTAAAAAATAAGTAATTATGTATAAAAAAATAATTAAGAACAAAAAAAAATGGTTTTAAATTAATACTGATTTTGATTTTTAATAAGTTAAAAATAAGGAAAATGACATATTTAATCTATTTTTTTAAACCTTTAAAGTTGATTTTTGTGAAAGTTTACAGTAAAAAAAAAATTAATTTATTACCATAACATTTAGTTTAACTTGCAACTTTTTAGGATAAAAAAGTTCTTTTTTTCATTTTAAACATTTAATCACCCTATTAAGGAGTATTAATTAATATTATTTGTATTTATGTTTTGTGATTTTAAATTACTAAAGGAAATTTAAATTGTAATTAAGATGAAAAACAAATGCTCTACTGCGACATCCTAACTTAATCTAACTATATTATTTAATAATTCTTATTTGTTAAATAATGAAAGTCCTTTTATAACTTACTTTGATTTTCCAGTTACAGTATTTGCAATAGTACGTAGTATATTTGGAGGTTTTATAAGCTCTTTAAGAATATTAGATTCAGTAGCCAATGGGAATCCGTTATCTAGCATTTCATCTAATAACTTAAATTATAAATGTTAAAGATTAAGATAATTTAAAGTTATAGAAAATATATAAAACCAAAAACCTTTTAAAAACTTAATAAATAAACTATTTATAAAAATCATAAAATTTTTCATTGACAAAAATATCTAGTTTTGGACATTTTAAACTTTAATATATGCACTAAGAAACTATAAATATATTTCCTTAAAATTTATAAAATATGAAAGAACATTAAGGAATTAAGTTACAAATCATCACCAGGCATGAGAATAACTTTTACAAAGTATATTCGTATAATTTTAAAGTCAGTTTTTCAGTACATAAAATAGAATTTAGTTAATTTAACCGGTTAACCAAATTTCAGATTAAAATATATCACTGTGTTAATTGTTGATAAGGATTTAAATCATTCAAGCTATGACCTAAATATTCTTACATTACAAGTAAAAAAAAATATGGTTTTTATATATTTTGTATAATAAAAATTGTTTAAAAATATATTTACATACAATACAATGTTTGTTCCAAATTATAGAACAAATATATAATTACTTTTGGTACAAAGATGACAATGTATACCTCAAATCATAATTATAATAAATAGAGAATTTGGCTAAAGAATAATTTTCATGATTAATTTAACAATTTTTTGTTACTGACAATAAAGAGACAACATGAAACTTACTTCATATACAACAACATAGTTATCTTTCACAACATTTTCAGAACATTCTGAAAAATAATCTTCAAATGTATCAACTACTCTATGTAAGAATTCAATAACAAACAAAGGTGGCACTACAGAATCGTAACATTTCAATTAATTACAATATTTAGGTGTAGGTGCAACTATTTCTTTTTGATATATAATACCTTCTGTCATACATACAGCAACAAAAAATAAGCCACTTCGATAGATGCTTATTAAATAATGATGTGGTGTAGCTATAACAGGTGGAATATCTTCAGGGTTGAGGGTTTTACGATGTTGATCAAAGAAGTAATCACATACTGATTTAGAAATAATGCTTTTCCAGTGTTTTTCAATGAAAACATCACTGAAATTAAAAAAAATATTTTATTTTTGAATTTTGATTGGCAAATACAATTCATTAAATTAATAAATTACCATGCAGAGTTTATAATAAATAAACTATGAATCATGTTGATTAGATGTTATACAAATTGTATTAACAGTTATAATGTGGAAGAAATAGTCAAAATTCTGGAATAACAAAGTAAACAACAATTTTTAAAACTATTTTCAAATTTAAAAAAAAATGTACTTCAGTAGTTACTTATCACAAAATATATCTTTAAAGTTATGATAAAATATCTGATAAGGTAACGTGGCAATCTAATTAAAAGATGGAAACACGATTATAGATAAGACTTATCGATAATCGTTGACGGAATCTACGAACTAAGATAAAATGGTTTAGGACACAATCAGGTGATCCAGTTTTATTATACATTTTCCGTAGAAGAGAGAATTTTAATTTAACCCGCTGCCAGATATTATTTTTTTGAATTTTCACGATTTCCCCTCTCTCTTTTTACATTTTGTACTCAAAACTGAAAACATATTCATCGTTAGAGCTCAATACTGGTTGAATATTCCCCCTTCTATAGTATTTCCATACAAAAACCTGATCGCACTCCGTTTTCGCCGACTATCGTGTTCAATCCATTTTATCTTTATTCGTGGTGGAAATTCTCTTGTTATATAACCCACTAATGATTAATTCCAACAGTAGAGTAAACAAGATTACTTTTTAACAGAGTAAGGTTTGAACTCTTAATAATTTTATTGATCATTTAGTTTTAAATAATTTTAAATAACCAAAAAAAAGACGCTTCCATTTATTTTGAAAGAAATATATTTTAATATTATTTTCTTCTAGTACAACTAGCAGAGTTTAATCCATATATTTGCCTAACTAGGTGGAAGCTTAGCCTTTAATATTTCATTATGGTTCATTTATATTACGTTTAAAATATATTTTAGATGCCTTTAATAACTTAAAAAAAAAAAAAAAAAAAATATATAACTGAAAATTTAATTTAAATAACGTGTTACATATTACATCAGTTTTTAAGATTATGAAAAAAAAATTTGTGGGTATATATTGTATATTTATTAACAATTGAAAGGTTTGGTGTAACAAATAAATAAGTTCAACTTTTTCAACAAGTCATTTTGTGTTAATTTTGAATATATATGATTTTTCAGCGTAATTTAGTATAAAACGAGTACTATATTATTATTATTTGTAGAGATTTAGAAAAAAGAATTAATATTGCTTCTTAAACACATTTTAGTAAAACCAATACCTTCTCAGCTTCGCATCGAAGCTAAAAAAACGCTTCGATGCAAATCTTTAGATAGTGTTTAATTTTAAAAAATGGCTGTATTATTCCAAAAGTTACATGATCTACTAGTTCATTATTAATATCCTGATTAAGATATAGTAAGTCAAATGAAAAAGAGATTATTAAAAAATATTATTTTTCATGAAAAAATTGTATTGATCCATACATTTTTCAAAAAGTTATAGCATTATAAAGTTAAAAATGTAAAAAATAAAATTGAGAATTTTCACACAATAATAGCATTTGGTCGCCATTTTCACCGTGAAGACAAAATAAAGTCCAAAATTTTTTTTTTAGATAATAAAGTAGATTACATTAGCTTTAATTTAATATATATAGAAAAGAGTCAGACTTTCCGGAACACTTTCAAAATTTAAGTTGAAAAAGTCAATTTTTTGTGAAAAAGTTGTCATTTTGAATCCCCCCCTGTAGGCAGGTAAAAAGTCAGATTTATAAAAAAAATATACCAAATGATAGGTAAAGACATCATGCATCTACAAAAAAAAGAATTATATTGATCCATACATCTTTCGAGAAGTTATAGCATTATAAAGTTAAAAATATAAAAAAGAATTTTTTTACAAAAATCGTATTTTTTTTATTAAGTTTAATGTCTGTTTTCACCATGAAGATAAAATAAAGTCCGAAATTTTTTTTTACCATTATAAAGTATATTACATTAGCTTTAATTTAAGATATATATAAAAGTGTCAGACCTTCCGGAACATTTTCAAAATTTAAGTTAAAAAAATTAATTTTTTGTGAAAAAGTTGTCATTTTAAATCCCCCCTTGTGGGCAGGTTAAGGGTTAAATTTATGAAAAAAATATACCAAATGAAAGGTAATGATATTATGCATCTATATAAAAAGGATTTATATTGATATGTTCATTTTTGAAAAAGTTATGGCACTTTTAAGTAAAAAAAATTGAAAAAATTTCGAAAATTAGCGATTTTTAAATTTGTAATTTTTTTGGAGGTTTCCCTCTTATACGGGGAACGAGGGAATTTTTTTCAACTTTTAAGGGTAATGTCTTCGACTAGATACGATTTGTGATCTTTTGACGTATC